GGCCAGCTGCCTTCCAGCCATGATTGCAGGCTTTTTAAAAATGTTTCTATTCTTAGGAGGATGCTTTTTAACATGCACTGCACAAAAACTGATGAAAGGTCTTTTGTTCTTTGTAGAGTTTGAAATGAAAATACTGTTAACAATTTTCTAGTAGCACTATATGTGTCCTGTTAAAGGGGCTGTCTGTCCCTGTCAGCGTGGAGCTGGGGGAACGCCTGTCAGTTTAATTTTATTTCTGTGTACCTTTTTTTTTTTAATTAAAACTGCTCAAGGTTTTCTTAAGTGATTTTTTTTCCTGCTTAATGAGTTGAATCAGATGTTTTTAAGAGCTGCTAGCCTCACACAGGTCACAGTCCCAAGGGCCATACTCAAGTGCTTATAGTTGTGGAGACTCAGAGGGGAAGGATTAGGGTTAAATGGGGTGAGACTCATTATACAGCTTGGGCATGCAGACAGTTCTGTGTAATGCGTTTCTTGGAACTGTTAGTCTTTGTGTTTGTTGTCATTTTTATGCCTTTCCAGGACTTGTTGGACAGTGATTGGGCCAGTGTACGAAAAGTTCTTGAGCAAGCGGACATCCTGGTCATTAAATATGCCGTCACTGACAAGCTGGCCTTCCAGCAGGTCAGGAACGGCTATGCCCCGAGACTCCGCCCGCTCCTGAGGCACTGGGGTGTACCTGTCATCCTGGTGGCAGTTGGAGCGCGGCTGAATGGTGAGGTCATTTTTGTCTTGTCTTTTTGTTAGAGCCGGAGCGTGTTTAGTTTTGTCAACAATACTTTGTCACTGTTGTATGTAAACAAGAGTTTGAGAGGCAGCAAATACAAAATGTCTTCATCTTTCAGTCACTGAACCTGGTGTTTTAGGGCTAATGTAGGCTACTGTTGCCTCAGCTGTTTATTTTGATTTTTGACACAATAACATGTTCTTGCTGGGCCAGTGAGCTTTGTGTCCTCCAAGAAATGAAGAGATCTTTATGACATCTTCTCTTGGTTGTCAGCTCACATGCTTCCCTACAGGAAACACACCAAAGCAAGGCATTAAGTTTATATTTGTTGCCCATTACAAGAGCTCACACAACACATACACTAAATGTACACTACAATAGTACTTTGTCCCTTAACTAGGACCAGGGCACTTGGGTGTAGCCTTAATGGACGATGCTTAACACTTCAGCCATTACCAGCATACATGTTTAGTGAGTCTGCATGTAGTTTTGCAGACACACTAACCCTCGACGAATCCAGATACTGTAAACAAGTCTATCAAATGTGCTAGGTTGTATTTTTAGCTTGTCTGCTTGACATACTTTGGGACCCTGTCAGTGCTTCACTGCAGAACCATCTCGGTGTACGTCAAGCCTTTGCTGGCAGAGTGAGTAGTTGTAGACCGAAGCCTTTGCTTGTGTTTTGGTGTGTGGCTGGGTGAGTGTTTTCCTGCTATCCCCTTATGACTGCTGAGCTCTGAGCACTTCCTGCTGCTCAACTTCAGTCTGCCTAAGCCACAGCTGTGGCAGGGAGAGAATGCTTCTGTATGTGTGGTAACGCAGCCATTAAACCAGCAGTGCACACGGGCACAAATAGATTCAGCCAAGGACTCATGCACATACTTGCACGCACACTCAAATGCCAAGTCACTGCCTGTCTCACACACACACACACACACACACACACACACACACACACACACACACACACACACACACACTCTTTTCCCTTCTGCCTCACACACACACACACACACACACACACACACCCTGTCAAGCCCTGGCTCTGTGTCATGACTGTAGGTTATTAGTAGGATTTATCAAATGCCTCAGCACTTAGCTGCATGTCCCATTCATTCTGTATTTCTCTCCGACTCTCTGCTCCTTTGTGCACTCTTTCTAAAGTCTTTTCCTTCAAATTAATCCCTCTAATTTGCTGTCTGATTCTCTCTTTGGTCTCCCCACGCACTTGCTGCAGGTTTTACAGATGTGGATGGTCTTACTCTTACTGTATACTGTTGTACAGGGATTTTTTTTTATTTTCTCGGAGCCCAGTGAAGATGTAAAAACAGTGACCTGGAGGTGCCACAGCAACATTTCTTGTCAGGAATCGACAGCTGCAAACACAATAAACCAGAAAACATCAATATTTTACAAACGGCACTATCACCCTATTAAAGTCCTTGTAGACTGTCACTCAGAGACACACTAGAGTTGGTACATACACCGTAAAACCACACATGGCTGTGGCATCTGGTTTCTAGGTTCTAATTTGGAAAATGTTGCTTTTTTAAACTTTAATTTAGTTTATGTAATAATGTGTTTCCAGTTCTGACAGACACATTTTGAGACAGTATTATAGCTTACTGACTTTTGTGATTTTGTAGATTCAGCATGTTTTTGTGTGATATGTTTTTCTTGTACTTTATGTTAGTTTGCTATTAGTGTTGGGCTGCTGTTTCCTCATACGGAGTGTTACTCAGCACTGCTGTGACTGGTCCTGTCTGGGAGTAGATTGACTCTTGATTGTGCAGATCACAGCCACTTGTGTAAGGAGTGTGTTTTTGTCCCTATAAAGTATTTTACTTATTCTGCCTTGTGATGTTATTTTGACAATGCCCGGTGAAGGTTTCTGCTAAAGTGAGTGTTCCTCTGAGAGAGCTATTGGTATCGTGTGCAGATTTTTTCTTTTTGTCCAACTTCTCTGCATTTTGATCCATGTGATGTGCTGACAATAACACCAAGAGTTGAAATGTGGTGCGTGAAGGCGTATACGACAGTAAATGCCTTGTTTTGGTTCAGTAATTATGAATAGCATATAGCCCTTGTTATGGATTGAATATCATAGCCCAGTGCAACTCGTTTGATGACACATGGGGCAAGAAATTCCATTATTAGCTGTTCAATGCGTACTTGGTTCACACATCCTCAAAAGCTTAACGTCTCATATCAGTGACTCACATGCCCTCAAAGTATTAGACTCAAGTGTGTATGCAGTTTGAATGATTTAATCTCAGAGTCTATGTGTTCAGATGAAGGCCCTCCCTGTACGTGTCCGTTGTGTGCGTCAGACTGGAGCAGCTGTGTTCCTCACAGTGAAGGTCTGCAGCTGTCACGGGACCTGGGGGCCACCTACCTGGAATTACCCTCTCTCAACCACGTCTTTGTGGGTCGCTACTTTGGCAGTGTGGTAAGCAGTGACACCACACGTAAAGCAACGGATCTAAATATTAATTTAATGGCTATAGCTGCTTCTATGGTCTGTGATTATGAGTGAGTTTTTAAGAAAACAAGCATTCTTATTTTTAGAACACACACATGCACACTTTTCCACGTGTTTTATGCTTGAATTACAACAAGGAGTCGTGACGGCAGAAGGTCTCGTTGCCTATTCAACTTGATTAACATTTCCAGATAAGCACTGAGTAGAGGAAACAGGGACAGGTAGCAAAGAACTGATGATGTAACACCAGTGTTTCTGTACCTTGTATTTGACCTAATGTGTATTTCTGTATTGTTCAGCTGGAGTACTTCATGATTCAGTGTCTGAAACATAAAGCCAAAGAGAGGCCAGAGAAGAGGAGAGGAAACAAAGTGAATGAGCTTCGTCCACCTCATTTAGAACAACCAGGTCAGAGAGTACTGTGCTATCTAACAGCAAATATTTATTTTATTTTATGAACAGTGTTTTTTTTATTTCCTGTTGGTTCCTATAAACAGAGCTTCATCTTTTTCATAAAGTTTTTTTTAAACAACGGTAATTGTTTTTACAGATTACTTGGAATTCTTTTAGTATATAGAATATGTATTGTTGCTTTATATCACTCTCTTTTTTGTGGCGTACAGAGAAGATTCAGTTGACTAACTGGACTGTTTTTTCTTGAGCTTACATAGCCTTTAAAAGAGCCGAGCATTATCTAGATCAATATTCTCTGTTCCAGACTAGAAATAACAAGCGAGACAAGGGCCGCTGGGGACTACTTTTACTCAGTGACGTTTGAATCCATTTTATACTGAGCTCTTTTTCAGCACCAGTCGGAGAAACAAAACTGTGTTTAGTGCGTTGAGCACAATCACCATAGTGATGGCTGTTGTGGGATGGGAGCGGATTGATCATTAACCTTTACCTTAACTAAATTTTCTTAGACAGTTTAGGTATTTGACCTGAACACTACAAACTCACTTGACCAGTCAGTACCACAGCTCTTTTGTTATGTGTTCAAAATGTTTGATGCATATTACCGACATTAAATTTTAGTAATTGTGTCAGAGCTTTGGAAGATTTAGTTTAGGCCTGCAATGAATGATTATTGTCATTATCAATTAAACACTCAATTATTTGAATGGCTAATTAGTTTATGTGAAGCAAATTGCAATGTCATCACAGGTGACATTTGCAAATTGTTTTTCTGTCTGATGAAAAGTTCAAAACTCAAGGATATGTAGCTTACTATCATAAAAGACAAAGGAAACCTGCCAGTCCTTACCACTCTTTTCTCTTTGAGAGACTGGTGCCACACATTGTTTACTCATTAAAAGCTGCCAGTTAATTATCGCCTAATTGTTTAAAGGGTAATTTAGTCCGCTTATTTAAAATTCAGAATTTCAGATTCAATTTTAATGAAACGTTAAAACAATTGTAGCAGCCACATTCAGGCACTTGGATTTAATCAAACTGCCTTTTAAACACAAGCGCTAATTATGAGGTGAGATAACAGGTTAAAACTGACAGACCCACAAATGTTTATGCACCATGAATAGCAGCAACACAATAAGTCAGATCTATTATAGCACAACTTAAAAGAAACAAGCTGGAGTGTTGTGAAAGGCCAGACTGCTGCATTTTTGTTGTCCTAATATTTTATGTTTTTAGGCTATGGAACTCCTTCTCCTAATTGGGTCTGATTAAATCCGAATTTGCCTGCCTTTCCCAACTGCTGGATGATGCCGCAAACTATTAGCTTTGTGTCTTGACATTACATAATTAAAATGAATTTGGCTAGAGGCGCATCTCCCACTGCACAGGTCGACCCACTAGCATCATTTTATTTTGAAAACTGAAGTCCAGTGCTGTGTTCTGTAATGGATGCCAAGTTCACAGCTACATGTTAGCTGTCAACTAATGTTAATGCTACTGCCATTTCTCCATGCAAAGTTATTTTTTACAGAATAACATAACTGAGTATATTTAAGACAAACTATGCAGTTAAACTACCACAAAATGGTTATCTGACCACTTTGCTGCGGCTGTGTGTCCAAATCTGCTGCAATGACTGACAGATTCAAGTCTTGCCAAAAAAAGAGAGACACCAACTGCTGGAAGACTTATTGGTGCCTGTCCAACACTATTTACTGCTACTTATGGTGCTGCTTGCATTAAGTATGACATGCTGATTCAAGAATAGCACTATTTACTCAGCCACATCTGAGCAACCATAAAATACAAGATGAGGTATAATGTGCATTATGTATGAATAGGGATATCACTGTGATTTGTGAAGCTCTCACTTCTTTCACCTTCTAAAATGCTTGTTAACTCTTTATTAGTAATGTATAAATACATTACTAATTTAATACATTACTAATTACTAGTTTACTTATCAATTTTGTCTCATCCTGTACATTGTCATTACAATATTTGTTTTTTTTATTCACTCTTTTTGTGTTTCTGTGACTATACACTGATCAGCTATAACATTATAACCACTGACAGGTGAAGTGAATAACATTCATTATCCTTTTACTGTGGCACCTGTCAGTGTGTGGGGTATATTAGGCAGCAAGTTAACATTCAGTCCTCGAAGTTGGTGTGCAGGAAAAACAGGCAAACATAAGGATGTGAGTGACTCTGACAAAGGCCAAACTGTGATGGTTGATGACTGGGTCAGAGATTCTCTCAGACTGCAGGTCTTGTTGGGTGTTCCTGTCTGCAGTGGTCAGTACCTACCAACAGTGTCTAAGGAAGGACAAACAGTGAACTCATGGATGCCCAAAGCTCACCGATAATGACTAAACCTTTACATTTCATTTATCATTTTCAAATGATTCCACTTTGTTTGAATCTTTGTTAAAATGGGTGAAACTGAGAAATACTGTACACTGGTTTCTATGAGGAGAAACATTCAGTGGGTATAGTGGTGGCATCACACCTACAGTGGGGAGGCTGTTGAATTTGTCTAATTTGCTCTCACGACCACAGTTTTCAGTCCTTTTACACAGATTTTCACTGAATGTTACACATTTGCACTGTTCATGACAGTAGAACTACTGAAGCAAACAGATTCACAGAAAATGCACAGTGAGCTACATAGTGACATGAGTGCCAACCAACTGCTGCATTGACTCCTATGTACACAGTATTGTCCATGCGGTCATAATGTTATGGCTAATCAGTGTAGTCCATCCAGGGTTTTCTACATCTTCTATAAACATCAACTTTTAAAAAAAAATCAAACATAATTTTAATGGTTTTCTTTTTTCCATCCAACATAAAAACCTCACAAACCCCACCAGTGCTTGCAAATATGATGGCACTACATTACTGAGCCAGATCACTAGAGGAGAAAAAGAACATCCATCCATCATCTATACTGCTTATTCCTGAATAGGGTTGCGGGTAGCTGGAGCCGATCCCAGCTGACAATGGGCAAGAGCTGGGGTTACAACAACCACACACACTCACTCTCACTCATATGGGCACACAGAAAGGCCCCGGGTTGACCTGGGCTCGAGCCCGGAACCTTCTTGCTGTGAGGCGACAGCACTAACCACCCTTCCGCTGTACCGCCCAAGGGAAGTACAAAATAAGAAAAAAAAAAAAAACGAGTGCAAATCTTGATGTGGATCTTCTTATGGTTTAAGCTTGACGTAATATTTCTGAACCACTGAGTGTGGGCGGTAAGATGTGTGGTCTCTTTTTTTTATTTGTGGTTTTGGTGTTTATTTGCATTCTGGGGTATTTTTGTTGCTTCTTGATGTATTTTTATCACAGAAGTGAGAGAGGTGGCCTCTTAGTGAACCTACCATGAAAAAAAGGTTTTAAAAAATCTAAAACATAGCTACATACTGTTGGTGTCATTTCCTCAAGATTTAAAAAAAGCAGGGACACTGTGTAACAAACATTTCTCCAGTCAGCAGCTTGAGTTTGCATCTTTGCAGGCCTGTCTTTAGTTGCAAAGGCAAACATTTCTGGAAACATTTGTCTCATTTGAGTAACAGAGCAACATGACACAGGTCTCTGCTCTTTCTTCTTGAATAAAATGTCTCGCCACCCTATTGCTCTCTACTGTACACACCCCAGTCCTCTCTGAGTTGTCAATACACATTGTCAAAAAATGGGGAAATCACTCGTAGAAGTGCATATGGTAGACTGAGGGGAAAGAATAATCTACACTTCTTGGGTGCTTTGAGCATAACAATCAATTGCAGCTGAACTGCAGTACTACTTGTTCATTAACTCATTCTCTGTATTGTCCACCCTCTTTCCTTCTCCCTCTGTTCAGCTCGTCTTCCACCTATTCGAGTGGAGGAGTCCAGCTTCTCCCAGGACATGCAGTGGTTGTTGGAGCGTGGCGTGCAGTTTGCGGATGTGGCTTTCTATGCCGGGGACTCTGGGAAGGAATTGGGGTGGGCGCATGCGGCTGTGCTGTGTGCTGTCAGCCCATACTTTCGACAGCTGCTGCTAGGGCCCAAGACCAGGTAGGAGAAATACAGGCTTGCTCACAGGATGGAGCTTAATAAGCTCTTCAACCATCTGTGCCTGTAGCCAGCAGGAGCTCATCTCCTCCTGCAAATGTCTCTTTAGCATAGCTGTGCAACATTTTGTGCTGAATTTAATCTCTGGCTGATTGGACAGGGAACGTCCACAGTCGCGGTGTGTTTGCAGAGAGCGAGATGGAGGCCCCCATTCACTGCTTTCCACCTGGGATGGGGGGATTATCAATGACATGCCAAGATCGGACGGGCACCTGACAGGACGCCTCTCTCGTCTGGTGGTGAAGGACCCCCTCCTTTGTCTGTGCTGGTGGGAGACTCTCATGTTCATTTACAGAGGTAAAACCCACCAGTCAAATACAGTGCACTCACACACAACTGAGAAAGCCAACAGATTAAATGAGTCGTTTTAGAACTTTTCCCAAAGATTCTGTCATTTACATTTGACCAACTGTTTTGCTTGTGAGATGCTTCCACTGACCGCAAGTCAAAAATAAAGACAAACGTGTCAGAAAATAGTGAAGACTGTCACACTACTTCCCAAAGCCCAAGATGACAATACAAAACACCAAGGTATTCAATTTACTGTTGTTGACTGAAATGGATGTGAAAATGCTCATTGTTAAACTGGGTTTTGTAATAACTCATATAACCTTTTACATGAGACTGTCCAGTCCTGAAGTCTCTGGTGTGTCAATGTTTTATCACAGGCTTACAGTAAACCGTGCTTAGTGGAAGTTGTTATTCAGAGAAGAGATACTGACCTTGTCCTCAGTGTAGTTTGGTGTAATGGGCTGTTGGGGAAAAGGATAGTAAACCAGTGTCATTTGAAATGGTGAACACTTTTTGGAAAAACAAGTTTTCTGCTGCTAAACACTAGACAGTGCTCAGTGTATTGAGCCATTTTATGTTTGAGTTATGGGATCAGAGATATTTAAATAGCTACAGTTGTTGGGTGATTGTTTTGTGTGTTACTAATTCCAGTGTTTCAGCCTTGTTTCACGTTTCCTGTTTGTTGTTACCGTATATTTTCTGCATGTTACAAGCTGGACTGACACCCACAGCATGGGAACTCCACTCTCTTTTTCCAGTCATTTAGATGTGAAGAGTAATGTCCCCTGGCAGCAGGAAGCAGTTTGCCCCATTGGGTCTTGTCTAGTGTTTCATTACACTGAGGAACAGAAATCAGTCAAATGGAAAGTGCTTGATAGTAAGCAACTGTGGTATTTTAATCAAGGACCTGATCATTCACTGTGTAATAGTGTAATCTCACATTTTCACTCAGGCCGCTTATGTTTCCTTTTCTCCATCCAGCTCAGTTCTGTTAGGCATTATATACATCAGTTAGGGTGGACTGGTACTCTGAGACATGTTTGCAGGAGTTGAATTTCCATCATTTTGATGGTTAATGGGATTAGCTGGTAGAATTTGACTCAGGAGGCTGCTACAGGGGCAGGATGTACATCAACAAATGATGGAATCTGTGATCAGACGGTCATGAAAATTTAGTACTATTATTACTAGAAACCAAAACATTTGAGGATATTGCAGTGCTTACATCCAAAATATTTATTAAATAAGCATGTGATAGTCTCTGTGACTTCAATGCTGTAACAAAAATCTTCTCAATGTGTGGACTGCAGCACTGTGTTTGCTTCACATTAGATCCCAAAGCCCGTGCGTGCCAGTGCTTCATCACAGGCTGCGTGTAACTCCTGCATTGCAGGAGTCTTTATGGCAAAAAGCTGTGCTGCATACATGTGACTCATGGCCGCCTCTTAACATGTACCGCAAGTGAACAGCAGCACTGATGGCCTGAATGAACGTGCATGTATATACACACAAACACTAGGGGCAGACACACAGACACATTGGCTGTAAGTGTGTTGGTAAAGACTGAGTGGAGAATGGAAGAAGATTATAGGGTTAGACTGAGTCTTTGTGAGTGACTGTGTGAATAAGAATGAGAATGCCAGCAGCTGAAAGACAGAAAGAGCCGTGTGCATGTTCACACACATACAGTATATGCAAGTCCTTGTGTAGATTATAGATTGGAAAGTAAGGAGTAGAAAATTGTGAGTAGGGTGAGAAACATACTGTAGAGTAGGGTGAGAAACATACTTGGCAGGGGGTGAGGATGAGAGTAGGGTGAGAAACATACTGTAGGTGGCAGGGGGTGAGGATGAGAGAAGGGGAGGAGTGTAAGGTGTTGCTTTTCTGTGAGACAATATGATGGCAGGTGTTTGGATGGTGAGGACGCTGGGCACTAGAGTACACACTTAGTGTGTGTGTGTGTGTGTGTGTGTGTGTGGGGTTTGGAGAGAATAGTGGAAAGATGAGCTGAACAACATTTCCATAAACGCTGCAGGGAAACGGAGCTAAGTCTGGTGTGAAAATGACTCATTTTAACCTTCAACACAGTGAGTCTGATTGTACATTAAAAGCAGCTGACCTCACATAAAATGTGCATGATTTTATAGTAGTATGTTTTCTTGAATTGGCTAATCAGGTGTGAATACGTGATGTCTTTGCCCACAGAAACATTCGGAGCACAGGCTGCCAATGTTTGATGTTCATTTGCTGTTAATCCACAACAGGCTGTACTTTGCTTTCCTTGAGATGGGACACATTATCTTCTGCTCACAATTCAGTGTCACTCATTTTTAAAACCTTTCTGTAACAATGTCATGTCTCTGTAAACACACAGCTTCACACTCACGTTATTATTCTACGCTGGAGGTTTTTTGTCACCTGAGTGTATGTGGACAGCCGTAGAGGTTGTGGCTTTGCTTGTGTGATGTTAACACTGAGAGACTCTGTCTCCTTGTGTAGAATTCAGCTGAATTATTGAATTTGTCACTGGGTTGCTGTTGTGTGCGTGTGCATGCTTAACACATGTATTACATGTATATGTGTGAGATGAACAAGTGTGTGTGTGTGTGTGTTTGTGACCACCCAGGCTTCATTCAGGATCACATCTGTGACCACAGAACAGCTGTTTTTTGGGATGACTTGTCTCAGAGGGGAACAAGTGGTTGTTATTTAGTTTCCTTGCAACTGAATTTGCCACAAACATACTGGTTTCTCTCGTTGTTAGGGTTTGATTTGAATTAAGGTAAGATTTAGGAATTTAGCAGCTATGGACAAATTAAGGAATGCCCTTTGGGGATTGAGTGTTACTCTGCACAAATTGTTGCTAAAGTGTTTGTGTAGCTGGGTGAGATGTAATTTACAGCGTGGAAGCTTAACTGCGATATCACCCAGAAATGTTAATTTAGCAGCTTTTGCTTTTTCCACATATATTTCTTGTTATTTTCATTTTCCTTCAGTCTCACCTTTGAAAACATCTGCGGGCCCATAGCTACTGTACATTGCTGTTTCTTATTGTCTGGCTGCATCACGTCTGTACCACAGCTCTTGAGATAGTCTGTCACCCTGCCCACGAGGTGTCTGCTGCACTGTGTGTTGAAGTAATCCCTTTATCAGTCAAAAAGCTGTCATTATGAACTAATGATGAGCTAAATCCTGCCCAGTCCTGCTCCCTTCTTCCCTCAACAGTATGTTTATATCATGGTGGTGAGATGCAATGTGCCACCAAAACCAAGCTGCAGGGCTGTACAAGCTTTAGAGAGGAGTTCATTACTGGAGTGAATAAATGCAGCATAGATATCTTCCAAATGAGCATGTGTCACAGTCATATTCAACTTTATCTTTTAGTGCCGCTTTATATGTCACTCGTCATTTATGACGGGATCTTCCTCTATATCACAGTGTACATTTCTGTTTCTGTTTGCTGTGTATCACTAATTTTGAGCCATGATAGCAGAATGCCGTGATACCAGATAATGAATCCTAATGATTTGGGGTCATTCCCTGAGTTTACATCTAGAGCCACCATGAGGTTCACATTTGGGATTTTTAGTGAAACATCTTAGCAACTTTTAAACTGCAGTCACTTTGGTTCAACTTTATCTTTTAGTGCCGCTTTATATGTCACTCGTCATTTATGACGGGATCTTCCTCTATATCACAGTGTACATTTCTGTTTCTGTTTGCTGTGTATCACTAATTTTGAGCCATGATAGCAGAATGCCGTGATACCAGATAATGAATCCTAATGATTTGGGGTCATCCCCTGAGTTTAGGTCACCATTCAACCACCACACATTATATAAGCAGACAAATTTTAGAACATGCCATCTTTGTCAAAATCACATCCTGAGTGTTCGGTGGAAGGTATGTGGGTGGTCAGAGCATTGTGCCAACCTGTGTGTTTCTGCAAACTGTACCATTGTGGGACCACAAAGTCCATGTGTATGTGATGTTTTGTAGGAGCGTGGGAGTGGGAGCACCTCCAGGAGGCCCTGGAAGAGAAGCTGAAGAACTCGCTAGCTGTTGCTCAGCTTCTGGATCGCGTACGATCTCTCATCGGCAGAGACAGGGTGAGGCCTCTTGTGTTTTGAATCACCTCTCCTCTCTTCCTTTAATACTTAAAAATGTCTGTCTGTTTGGAATGCCTTATAGTGTGTACTTGTACTTAATGTGTCAGACTTGCTTTTTGAAGATATAAACAGGTTTTTGTAGTTGCAGACTAACAGTGCCTTAATTAGCCAGACTGTATTTAGAAAAAGCACAGTAATAATGTGGCTCTAATTAGCATATTTACATAATTACTGCTTATAATCACCTCTCACACACTGTGGGAATTAGCACAAAGTAAACAAGAGATACTCTCAAAGGAGCAAAGGTACAGCACAAGATCTGTCAAGATTTCACACTGGACACCAGCCTTGAAATCCTGCGCTGTGGTCTGTAATTATTAAATTAAACGTAAGAAGGGGTTCCCATAGCAGGCTTTAACATTTCAAGAGAGATTCAGGAGATGTGACATGGATCTGTCTGACAAGCCTTTGGCACCATGCGTGGTCTACCAACCCATCTGGATAAAACTAGGTCTTCTACCTGAGGTGTTGTACAGATGAGCCAACGCTCCGGAAGACAGTTTCCTAATGTCCTGTCAGGATTTGATCCTGTCACTCTGCAAACATCTCCGGGTTGTCTCACTCTGTGAGACTGTCTGAAATTTGCTTTCCATAAATTTAACAAAATCAAAGAGGCTTAATTCTGTGTCTGCTTCTGCTGAAGACTGCTGAAGAAGTTTGCTGAATGCTCCCTCTGCAGCAGAGCAGCGTGAGAATATGGAGTTCTTCCAGTTGACTGAGAAAGGTCACGTAATGGTAATGGGATGCTTTGAAGACATCCATTCGTAGCCTTGGCAAAACCACGTGTGCATATAAACACTGACAGCCTTTTTTGATGCTACTGACTACTCCTGCTGTACACTGCAGTAAACCATTTACCTCTCTCTATATATTTTGTGCTAATGTGCAGGAATGTGTTAATAAATAGTTTGGAAGACTGTCTGGTTCACAGTCTGTTGTCAGTCTCAGCCAGTTCCATCATGTCGTTCTTGGCAGACAAGAATGTTTGGGTAGCGCTAAGCAAGCCTGGCAGAGAGGCCATTTGTATTCCACAGGGGGAGGTGGGTAGATGCACAGAATGCCAATTGTGTTGGTAACTAGTACCTGACACGTGTGTCCATGCAGGGCTCCAGGGATACGCCAAGCGCGCGGGCGGCTCAGCTCGGCCCCCAGACTCTTGTCAACCTCTTCAATTCACCTCTTTACTCAGATGTCATCTTTATGGTGCAAGGTGGGTTCATGCTGATCTGTTTACAATCAGCATGATTGGCTTACAAATGCATGCACCATCACACACCAGAGTGGGTGCATATTTTACTAGCTTGTGATTGAATTATGATCTCAGTTCTGGGCTTGATCATTCATTCGGAGGCAAAATAAGATGAAGGGGGTCAGTGCGATGATCTGCCTTCTGTCATATTTTATCTCACCAGAAGCTTTTCCATGAGCTGCATTTGGCCATTTCTCTATCAAAGGCTCAAACTGAGAAATCCAGGATAATTCCCACAAGCCTCTCCAAATCAATATTTATGTCTTAAAACGTGCAGTGAGGTTTCCTTGTCCTTGCACGTCTGAGCTGCAACAAGTTCAGCCCTTCGAGGACACAGAGACATTTCTGTAATAATATTTTGTACATTTCTGTTTTTCGTTTTTAACCCTGACTTACTGCTGGGGCGTGGTGAGAGCTGCCATTAGCTGGCTGTTAATAGCGCTGACGAACAGCAGTTATGTCAGGACATGTGTCCAGACTTTACACATCATTTGCTTCCTGTTAATCTACACAGCCCATTATAAGAGATGGCCAAACTGAATTAAGTTGGGGTTGCACTTCTGTGATCGTTCAGAAGAGTCCAGTTCGGAGACGGAGATGCTACTCTGAAATTCTAAACCTAGATGTTAATTTTGTGTGTGTGTGTCCTAGGGAGTGTGTTGCCAGCCCACCGAGCGGTGCTGGTGGCGCGCTGTGACGTCATGGCAGCCATGTTCAGTGGGAAGTATGCAGAGGCCCGGAGTCGAGTGGTGCCCATCCATGGTGTCTCCTCAGACACCTTCCTGTCTTTCCTGGAGTACCTCTACACCGACTCCTGCTGTCCTGGTGAGTTTAGTGCACACAACCCAGACGTTTAGTCAACTACACAACTGTGACTACTACTTCTGCTGTATACAATAAGATTAATGAATAAATGGCACCTAAATCTACAGACACACACTTCCAGTGGGAGGTTCTAAATATAGTCATAGAAGGACCCTGCCCTCCTCTTTTCTTGTGGATTAATTAAACCCAGTAGATGTTGCATAGTGATGTGATTGATTGTGCTGGGAAAATCAGAGTTAACGTGTTATTCATTCACCTGGCTGTGAGTGCAAATGGAGGCTGTGGCTGTAAATAATTACAGGGAGACTAAAATAAAGGTAAAGTTGCTTTATATACCATAGATATGATTGATGAAATGACAGCCTCTTAATGTTCCATGGAAATAAGCACCTGTCCCAAATCAGAAAACACTTGAGAGCATTACACTAGTGTGTTCCTCTAGGGGGAATTGCACAAACCAAGATAAGGGATTAAGCCAGGATTTTCTAGTTATCTGGGCTGAATTAAGTCCTGACTCAGTTGCATGAAAGCAGGTTAAATTAAGTTACAATGGAGATTTATTCCTTGCAGCTAGCCGACACGGCCAAATGGAGCGCAGCTTCTATGTCAGCATCAGTGAATCTGTGATCGACCTCGTGGTCTGTTGAAGAAAGCTGTGAACTTGCATTAATCCGAATTACTTCGACAACTCCTCAACCTGGCTTTGCCTTGGTGAAACGCATTAAGTCAGGATGCACTTAGTAGATGAGGTCAAGGCTCGCTTTGACTTGTCATCTTGGTTTTCTTAATTCTACTTTTGTGCAGTACACCCTTGGCCTTGCTCTCTAAATGCCACCAAAAACAAAAGCACAGATGACAAGTCCCATCAGCCATCTGTGTAACAATCTGCCAGTGTCAGTCTAAGGAGACAAGTGGAAAAGAGCACTTTGTTTAAAATTAAATTAGATTTAGTGAAGACAACACCACCTTGTGGTGTTTTACTGGTTCATCTGTTTTTAATGGTGCCAAGTCGCAGCCCCAGTTGTGCAGTTGTTGTTTTCCTCTGTCACTATCTGACATAATGTGTGCTGTATTATAATTAGAGCTGATAAGTCTCTCGGGGGAGGATAATGAGCTACACTACATAACATGCAGAGAATTATAGTTAAGGAGATTGAACAACATTAAAGTTGCATTAAAAATAATTCTAACACAGAAACAACCGAACCTTTAATGTGTAAGCTTACTGCTGATCTCAGTAAAAGTCAGCACTCAGCCTGCAGCTCTGTGCAGATTTCATCCCATAATGCCTGTTACACACACCCATTTTATGCTATGTCAAATGGAAATTTTTAATGTGACGTTCAGAAGCAGGACAACATCTGAACACACGCCACTTCCGTTCATCATTACATTTAAACCACCCTTTCAAACTAGTCTTCTGCTTCTGCCTTTTTGTAAGGCAGATTGCCCACCGTCCTTGTTTTGTTTTTCCTTTTGCCCCTCTGACAGAATGTTGTTTTTCTGCTCCATCACTAGCTCATCTTCTTTACAGTTTTTTGGGGGTTTGTGCCTGCTGGTCCCGTTCCACCGTCTGCAGGACTTTGCCCCGTTCCCCACGCAGCAGGCTGCCGTGTCCTTCCTCAGCAGGCTGTGGCTGCCTTGTCAGCTTCCTTCATTCTTCAGTTCCATGAGGACTCCTCCAGCCTTCCCTATGACTCTCCTGCCTTTCATTCTTTTCTTCATTTGTCATATCCTGAGCACTGGGCGTCCTCCTTCCGTTCTGTGTTCTCTTCCTCCTCTCTTTCACTGGGCACCAGGCTGCCTGTTACTTTTCCTCCTTTCCTGGAACTGACATAGCATCTGTCCTCTCACTTTCCTTGTCTGAGTGGCCATCTTCTGATTTGATGACCCCACCGACCAGCCTCATAGCACCGCATCAATAGGTGACACAGAGAAACAATCCACTTTGGCTCCACCTTCTTCCTCCCTGTTGTCTCCACTGCACAATAAGTCTTCTTCTTTGTTCCAGCCACTGTTAATCACTTCACTGAGTCTGATTCATCTCTTGGTTGTTTTGTGTTCGTTGTGTCCCGACTCTTTTCTTTTCTCTCTCCTCTATCCACTCACCCTACCTGGTGGAGGCAGAAGGCCACCCACCAAGAGCCGGGGTCTGTCAGAGGTTTTTTTCGTTAAAGGGGGTTTTTCCTCTCCACTGTCACCAAGTGCTTGCTCAAGGGGGATTTGTTGGGTTTTCCTTTAATAATGTGAGGTCTTTCTCCAAACCACAGACCACAAGCATTATAATCATCGTATTCAAACGTTCATCCTCAAATTTCTTGTTATGGTTGTTTCTGCCCCCTAGTGGTAAGAAACTGGTAATGCAGTTTTGAATGACAAGCTTTTGCAGTAGTGTATGCAGGGACTTGTGTGTGTGTCATTTCATGACATTCATGATGACATCACAGTTGCAGCTCCTTTAGGATTAAGCCATACAACTACAGATGAGTATATAAACAATAGGTTTTGTTCCATCATTAATAGATAAAGCCAAACTCAATATCATTGTCACAGAGGCACAACATTAATTATAACTGTGGCTCTCATCTTCCTTTTCAGTATCATTACATAATTATTTCCTTCAGATCAGAATATTTCTTTATGCTAAATTAATGTTTTGGGTGCCAAAAAAGAACAAACCCCCCTGTATGAGCATCAGTCTGACAGAGGCCATATGTTCACAGGGGTAGGGGGGGTGTTTGAAGGTGGTGTCTGACTGATATGCATGACAGAAGTCAGGTTATGTCAGGAGTAGTCAGATTTGACAGGACTGACATTGCTTGTTTGACATTTGTTGCATGTGTGCATGTAAGAATGTCACCTGACAGCTTAGAAACAGCAATGAGAAAATAATTTTTACTATACATGATTTGACTAGTAAACTCAAAAATAATTAGATTTTATTTAAAGGCTGACATGAAATTAGTTGGCTTTTCAGTAACATGATGGTGCAACCTGAGGTATGACATAGAGGAGATACTGTAGACTGCACCGAGTGGAAAGTGACAAAGTGAGGCACATGTTGTTTATAAACTGACTGCCCATCTTGTCTTTTTCTTGTCAGTTCTAATTTTAATTAATGTTCCTTTTAAAGCTGCATTATACAACTTTTTTTATTTATTTCTGGCAACTTGGAGGACAGTGGAACAAGTTATAAATACAACACTGACAGTGTGTCACCTCATGATGTTCATACGGTGAATGTCTTATCAAACTTTACACCTGCGTCCCTTGGAGCCTTGTTTCAGTCCATTTTCAGCCTCCTTTAAATTTCCCCTTAAAAGAAATGTCTTGCTTTTTAGCTAAATGCTCCACCATGTTCACCAGCCACTTTTTAATACTGCAGGCCCAGCATTCAACCATGCCAGTATGCTTTTTACCTTGTGTACAGCAGGCTGTGCAAACTAACCAGCTAGAAGTTTATTGTCCAATGTTAAGTGCAGGAAGCTGCTTTACCTTCTAGGACTGGTGGATTTGACTTTTGTTCAGCACTTTCTCATTTTGTGTGAATGGGAAGAACTTTCATTGCTGGTTGTTTCAAGCTTTGTGGGGCAGTGTCAGTGTGGCTCTGTTCCAATTTGACATTTTGAGCAGTAATCATAAAAACACTTTCCTGAATTCAGCATGAGCTTTGAAACCTTTGATTTCAGTGTAATAGAAACGTAGACTGTGTTGTGTGTGTTTGTGTGTCCAGCCAGTGTTCTGCAGGCCATGGCTGTACTGGTCTGCGCTGAGATGTACCAGGTGAAACGACTGCAGCACCTGTGCGAGGTCTGTGTGTGCGCTTACCTTCAGAGCATGCCCAGTAGAGAGCTGGCATCAACAGGTATCAGCGTGGTTCGACTACTCCGCAGAGCAAAGGTCAGTGCAACTTAGCATAAAGGTGAAAAAGGGTGAGAGAGAGGTGAACATGAGGGAGACAACCTGTCTGTGTAAAGCGATTAGACCTTCATTATAAGTTGACATGACCTTCAGCCAACAAATGAAAATACTTTGTATGATAGTTGTATAATGATTTGTCTAAAAATTGCCCAAAAGCTTAATCTTTTGGCCTGCAGCTGCTGTAAACCTCCATCTGCAATAGATATTCTGTTGTTAAGCATTAATTCTCGGAGACAAGAATTATGTGGCATGCTGTCTCCGTTTCATTTGCTCCTCAGTGCCACAATGCAGAGCAGCTGTACATCTGGCTCCTCCACTTCATCGCTAACAACTACCTAATCTTCAGTCACAAGCCTGACTTCCTGGAGCTCTCAGGTCAGTGTGTTTCACTTTTAAATAGGCCTTGTAAGTGTGATGGTTATGCAAACTGAAATTGCTACACTGATTTATAGTGAAATTAAACTGCTGATTCCAAGAGTTTCAGATAATTAAATCAGAGCGCCTCCGGGCTTCTCCAGCAAACCAAATGTAGGTTAGGCTGCATCTGTCTCAGAGAAATGCTGAGTGCCAGGCTTTTCATGTCAAATGGCCAACACTTTTAAAAAATCCAAGAGGTATAAACACGGTGTTTGCCAATTAATTACAAATGGAATACGAGTAATCACCGTCTAATCTTATACGTTTTGACTCTCTGGCTTTTCATACTCAACTTTTAATGATACTAAATCCATTATCTATTTGGTATAAAATGTTTAGCTGGTGAAAGTAACTGCCAAGAATTATCTTGTACCAGACACCCCTACTATAGAGGTTTAATATATGATTTATGAAATTTTTGTATTGGAAAGAATCACTTTCTCCTTCAGATTTCAAGAAAATCAATTCAAAGAACTTTGGGAGAAGTGAAAAGGTATTTTCTTAAAATGACAATAGGCGAGAGGCGGGGTCCACCCTGGACAGATCGCCAGTCCATCACAGGGCCGACATGCAGACAGACAACCACACACACTCACACTCACTGGCTTATAGCCAGGTAGGGATAACGCCCTGGGCCCGAGCTTTACCTGTTGTGGATTTGGCATTTCTCACTGTCCTTTCTGCCAGTTCGTTACTTTGGGGATAATGGGGGCTTGATGTGATGTGCTTGAAGTCCCATGAGACTGCGAAAGCTCTGAAGTCTTGTGAACTATATTGAGGCCCATTGTCAGAGATGAGCTTTTCTGGCACTCTGTGCCTTGCAAAAATAACTTGCGGCTTTGTTGTGACTGCACCTGTTGTGATAGAGTGTAGCTTCTCCAACTCGAAGAATCGACTGTAGTAATCAACAACTACTAGTCCTCCCCGTTCAACGTGAACAGGTCAGCCTGGTCTGTTGGGAATCTGATGAGAGATGAGTGGCTCTTTGGGGGTTGAAGCCCGTCGTTCCTGGCATATGGAACAATTTTCTACTGTGGTTGTGATATTCTTCCCCATGTGGGGCCAGAAAAGAACGTCTCTTGCTCTTTGCTTGCTCCTCTCAATCCTCATGTGTCCAGTGTGAATGTGCTTGCATTTTCTGTCTGAGAGCAAAGGGCACAGTGATTTAGACCCATTTGAACAATATTCCATGATAGTGTGTTATTTCATCTGTAGAGTTCCAGTAGTTGAAGAGGGCAGGGGGGACATCTTCTCCTCGTCTCTGCCCATCCTGTCTGCAGTTTGTTTCAGCAGTGTGAGTTGGGGGTCCTCTGTAATTGCTTTTATCTCTAAGTTTTCTGTCACCTACTGGCAGGCTGTTCATGACAGAGTGAACCTGTTCATTCATTCCCTTGTTTAATGTGTTGTCATAGTCCAGCAACGGCTTCCGAGACGGTGCGTCTGCTACGGGAATGTCTTTTCCAGGGTGGTGGTGGATCTCTGTCGTGCCACTGAAGCTGTAATGGCATTCATTGCAAGCGTGCTGGGGCATCAGAGATCTGCTTTCTTAAGATGGACTCAAGTGGCTTGTGGTCTGACTCGACAATGACCTTCTTACCATAGATGTAACCGTGGAGATGCTTACACCCAAACAAAACAACAAATAACTCCTTTTCTATTTGGATGCAATTTACTTGTTATTGTGAGTGACTTTGAGGTGTATGCATCAGGTAGACTGGGAGAATCCCACTCCATGTGCAGTGCAAGGATACTTGAGTGGGAGAATCCCACTCCATGTGCAGTGCAAAGATACGTGATGTATCCATCCTTCATCTGACTTAGCTGGCAGCCGGTACAGCGAACTTCTGACACCATATAAGACTTCTGTGGCTTGCACATGACGAACAAACCAGACAGACGACACTAGTGGTGCTATTGTTGCAGGCCTTTTTTTTTATTCCTTGCCCTGTACACAGAATATCCCCTGACTTCCTGTACATCTGTAAACCTTCTCTGTATCACTGTCATTCTAGGACACGAGCGCCACCTCTTGACAAAATGCAAAAAAACATATAGCACCATGAAACACTGAACAAGTAGAACGCTACAACATATTCTGCTAGCAAACAGTTACAATACTCTTTTATGTTCCAGTATTAATACATGCATTATCCACTTGCTCACTGACAGAGAAACTAGTATGCTGCACTAGCATCGTGTGAATTTCCGAAATGACACCCATGCTACAAAGGTTCACTGCTTTCTGACAGGCTATTTCTGGTAGTACAATATCTCAAACCCATAGCAAACAACTTGAATAATATGTTTGTACTAGGAAAAATGATAACGAACTCAAAAATAAATGTAATGGAGCCACTTGAACAAAATTAAAGCAATGCTAATGGCATTGTTGTCATGCCAGGCCACAGGAAAATTACTCCACAAGCTGGGAGACATTCAGCAGACTTCTGTTCAGTACAGCAAAATGAGGAAGTTTTCAGAGTGCTCATTGCAGAATCAAAGTGCCACACTGCCTCTTGCTGGCGAAAACTAGGAACATTTGTCCTACTACAGAAAAATAAAATGGCTTGTAATCAATTCCTATGGCCCAGGTTGGAGTATTTCCTCCTTACGAAGACTTTAGCAGACATAAAGCAAATCTTACCAACATTGCCTAATTCATAAAATGTGACCATACATCTTGTGTGTGCCACAGATACCTGTGAAAACCTCTGTATTTTATGCTGTAATACTATACAGTGCAGTATTGCAGTATTCAGTTATTAGCAGGCTGTGAGCTTTCAGGCCTTCAGAGTAGTGCTGACTCTTATTTGTTTATGCTTAATGATGCATGTTTATGCTTGTGTTGTATATAATTCTCCAAATTGCTGCTTGTTTGTTATAGTTTTATGAATTTAAAAGGCCATGTAAAAGCAGTAAAAGACAGGGTAATCTCAAAGATTAACAGCACCACTGCTTCAGTTAGTAGCAGAGGCACATTTTATTGTAATCATTAGTCATACACACGAGATTGATTTAAGGTCATTTGACGGGTACAGAAGGGCACAAGCAGAATCAAAGTGCAGAATAAGCAGAGAGCACATGACTGATCACCATTGGTCTTCTTGGTCTTAAGTTGTTTGTTGGTGTAAACAAACCCTTAGCAGATATATTACAGCATTGACGACTGTGTTCGTGGCAACAGTCCAAGAAGGTATTACTGTATGTGTATCTGTGAGTGCATGCCAAGCAGTGTATCTAGCTGTGATGGTTTTATCAGCAAATTAGTCATTAGCTGTGTTTGCAGTAAATTACAGTTGTATGTCTTTGTCCTTGTGTATGTTGTAGAGGAGGAGCATGAGCAAGTGGAGAGGCTTCGTTGGCCGTCCAGAGGCTACCTGCAGGAGCTCAGCGAATACCAGCAGCGACGGCGCAAACTGCGGAAGTCCCGCTGCACAGTCATGTGACCCCCACCCCTGGACAGCCAAACCCTGTGAGAAACAGCGGGGGAGAGAAGATGGGAAAAGCCAGGGAGAGAATAATGACAGAGGGGAGACTGGTCATCAGTATGAGAGGAAACAGACAGAGGAAATCTGTTTTTCTGTTCATTTGATGGATGGTGGGCTGATGCTCAGGACACTAGTGAAGAAGAAAACGACATTAGACTCCTTACCAACAGGACAGTGTCTTTGAGCAGTGACATACCCTGCTGTGGCACCCCTCTCTTTTGCTAGAGAAATGGCGTATCCTTTTCATGACTATACCAACATGGGCAATACAAAATGACTGATCTCTTAAACCTAGTATGAATTTAATAAGACTATCTGGCCATTAGCCAGAAGCTCTACGAAAGATTAGGTCTATTGGCTGATGCAACATGGTGGATCTTGAAGATGAACAGTGACACAAAATGGCTCCCTCACAATAACAGATATATTAAATGACCACATGTCTGTTGGATCATGTTGGAGACTGTTTCAAACTGCAATAACAGCTAAGGTGACCTCAGGCTGAGTCAACAGGAAAGAAATTGTGCTGAAGTGGTTTGTTATCCTCTCAGCACCTGGACACAGGACTGCTCCGTCTTAAATTCAGCCCATCTTGATGCATCTATGTCCTGCTGGCTCAAGAAATTGTGAACATGCACACACACAGCATTCTTAAACTAAAATAACTTTCAGCAGCTCAGTGAGTATTTCAGCTGAGTTACATTAACACAGAGCGAGAAGCAACTGGTAGCACAGTCATGCTCATTTTCATCTGTAATCTAACTAGCTCTGTTTAGCATATGAGCTGGACCAATTCAATGACAGCTCTTTGATTAGATTCTTTCAGATCTATAATGCAGCATCAGTGAGTGTCTCAGAGCCAGACTGATTTGATTACTACATGAGATAGAATACAATCTGGTTATGGCCTGTGTCCAATGAGGACATCTTACTTTCACTGAGAAATGTCTTAAAAAAAATTTCTCAAACTACACATGGCCTGTAAGAAAATGAAGTGTGCTGTAAATCAAATCCAGAAAAAGTGTATTTTTAAACTTAATTTAAAACCCATCAGCCGGACGTTTACACAACTTCCTTTGCAGGTCATTATGAAATAATGTTAGAACTATTCCTCATAGATTTGCAATAATAAACAGTAATGGGCTGTCTCTGTCACATAAAAAGGCCTTTTGTAGCATTATGTATACAGAAGGTGTACAAAGATTTAGGTGGAAAAAAACAAAACCAAAAGAAGTTGGTATGATTGAACCACAATGCCTCTGGGTGGAAACACAATATTTATTTTATCCTATTTTTAATTTATAATGAGACTATGATTTATTGGTGCTGCAATTACTTTTGTAAACTATAGGCTATTGTGTGTGGACATTTGTTTTTTTTTGTTTTGTTTTTTTTTTACATTTACAGTAAAGTCAGCTGGGTCATACTGTTTTACAGGTGAGTGTTCAGTGCTGTTTAAAAGATAATGAATCATAAAAACTGCAGTTCAAGAGGACAGAACAACTTCCTGTGTCAGATACATGCTCAACACAATGAAAGCAAAACAGAAAAGTAGTGGCACTTGGAGCCTATTCAGTGGCTCAGCATTGGTCATTAAAAGCTGACATACCTGTATGTAACTGTATGTATCCAGTCATGCAGTATCTTAGCTGAAGTGGAGCAGCAGGCTGTGTATACAGTACAAGAAAGACACCACTGTGAGACGTTGACAACATTGATATCAGTTGTTATCTTTAACCAGTAGATGCATATTTAACCTGCTGCTACACCGCAGCAGTCAAAGTATGTGGTAAGAAATGCTGACATAATCTACTGTTACAAAATTTGTCTGTAAACAGCAGCTGAGACACTGGACTGTGAAACGGCATGTGCCCCACTGCTGCATCCACACCCAGTCACTGGGCCAGTGCTGTACAAACTGTAGATAACATGATGTCTGACTTTAAATAAAGACGTTTTAGAATGAATATACCAGACTCCATGAACGCCTCTGCTGAGCTTTTACAGTGTTGTACAGGCGCAGTCAGGTGTACAAGTGTTGGGTTGCATTCCTGTTGAGCGCCATAAGCTGTGTCTCTGCCCTGTTTCCTCGGAAAGGTGGACTTGTTTTACAGTCAGATGGGTGACAAATTAAAAGAACAAACATAAAACTACCCTGAACTTCCAGAACAATTTAAATGCTCCTTGACACAGACTCACGGTGAATGTTTGCGGTTTGTGGTTACAGTCTGATTAATGAAAGAGAACCTTGTTATATTTGCAGAGGATAATGGCATGGCCAGGACACACATCAATGTCCTGTGTGAAAGCACCCATGTTCATTGTGTTTTTAATTTGTTTGCCACCCATCTGAACATTTCCATCGGAATATGATACAGTGCGGTTTACACCTGTCTTTACCACCAGGTAATTACTTCTCTCTGTGAGCACCACCCCAGGCATTGCCTTTCATTTAGTCTAGTCTTTTTCCATAGTAATGAGAGCTTACTGGTGCTAAATTATTGATACAATAACTTATCCTGGATCTTCTGAGGGACCAAAATAGTCTAGTCTATAAGAGTGTGTGCAGTACAAGGTATGTGAAAGATGCACTGTGTGTGAGTCTGTGCAATGTCCTGTACCTGGAAGTTTGGAGCAGGTCACTGCAGGACTCCAATAGCCTGCAGCATGCCCTCCAGTTTTCCATTGTTGTGCAGCTCCTCCACAGCATCACAACCTCCAACACATACCTCACCGATGAACACACGTGGAACCTACATTCAGTCAACATAAGGAAAACAGGGCCCAAACTGGTAAATATGCAGCCATTGATCTGGATGGCACATACATAGGGTTAGGCAATATGATGATATACACATCTGTCTCCCATTGGAGGTCTGGCCATCCTGTTAAGTCCTTCCACATTTCTGGGCATCAGACCATCCTGGGGGATGCTGCAAATCAGTGGCATGACTGATGGCAGTATTGGGTCTTATGTCAGAAATTTTACCAGGCTCTCTGTTGGATATTTAATTTTTAGGACAAACGGACATCGTTTCCCCTTATACGCTCTATGTCTTCGTTATAGATCTACTTTGATAAATAGAAACTGTTTGCAGCATTTACAAGCACACTCACTTTACTTTTCGCCTCTGATGTGACTTATGAGAGGATACAATGAGCTCTTCTCTGGAAGACACGTATAATTACATGTGGCACACACCCTTAAACTCCTCTGTTTTCCCGTTGGCCCAGTATGACAAAGCAACTTTGTTTACCGTGCGAGCTCCGGTAAGTTCCAGGAAATAGTCTTGCACCCTGCCCATGTCGCTGCGTCTACTTATATCCACGCTCACCAAATGTCCCGGTTTTAACTTGTATTTGGACAAAACGTCTTGGGCCATAATGCAGTACGGACATGTGGGCTTAATGAACAGGACCACCTTGTCTCCTTTGATTTGAGCCTCCACAAACTGCTGCGCCATTCTCACCAGCCACAGGACGCACCGAAGGAAATGATTGCTGCTGTCAGTTAATCAGGATGACGCGGAAGGCTTGTCCTTTCCTTTTTAAAGCGATACTAGCTTAGACAGTTTATAAATTACACACATTGAGGGAGTAAATCTCAGTGAGATCAAGATCTCTATTGCAACAGACCTGACATATATAAAATGTGACTCCTCAGCTCACTCCTTCTCGCTTTCCCTCTATTTTCTCTGCTGACTGAAAAGTATTGATGGCTCTACTGGACTGGAACATGACGTTACTGTTTGAGAACCAGAGGAACATCTTGTACCTCATCAGCCTGCCTCCGAAGTTGCTTTGTCATTACAGCCACATTATGCCCAGATCTCAGCTGGACTACATTAGTTAAACTGTGAGAAAATTTAAGCCCAGAAGTCAATTATCGTTTCCAATGTGCATTTCAGTAAGAGTGCGATGCTCCGGATCTGCTGGGAAACCTTGGGTCCTCGCATTTCTTAGCTAAACATTGCTGCAGACCAAGTACACCCCTTCTGAACAACGCCTCCTGCCGCACTGCAGAAACTGTCCAGGAGCATGATGAGGTGTTCAAGGCCCTGCCTTGGCCTCTGAATTCCCCAGATCTCAATCCGATCATGCATCTGTGGGATGTGCTGGAAAAGCTAGGCCGATCCATGGGGGGGCACCTTTTCCATCAGTGTTCCAGTACACTAGACTTCAGATTTTCCATAATCAACAAAGACTGAAGGAAGACACTGAACAAAATCCAGTTTAATTATAATCCAATGGTAATCCAAAACTGTCTATGTAATTGCTCACTGCTGTACCTTCAAATCTTGCATTTATTTGGGGTGAGAGCATCATATCTGCTATTTAGTCATTATAAAACTGACATTTTGGTCATTGGAAACCACAAAGAACAAAAGAGGACAAACACTTCTTGGTAAAACTAAATTGATTTTATTCAAATATCTTGCACATTTTCAGAAGGGCAGGAGCAGATTTCACTCAAAATTCACATTTTCAATGGTTTCTCAGATCAAACACTGCCAGGGCATTTTCATCTCACTTCCTCTAAGATTTTTGATCAAATAATTTGAGGTACATTCATGTTTAGAATGCACTGAATTAAATCCGTTTTTCATTAAGACAAACGTTTGCAAGGCGGTGAGGAAGACAAAGGTGACAGACAGCTGTGGCGCCCAACATCAGCTTGTTGGAGTGGCCCTCTATGTCTAAACTCCCTGGGAAATGAACCAAAAACACTGATCCTGTCCCAGACATCTGTGCGGAAATCTCGAGTAGAGCCTGAGCTCCCATGGACATTTTGTATCTGCTGTTGTGGCACCTCCAATATCAAGTGCTGATTTTCTGTCTCTAAAATAACTTGAGATACAACAAGCCAGTTAAGCTAAATTTGTAATTATGCTGATTCTGACAGCTGACCAGAACAGCCAGTCTACTGCAGAGACTGACTGACACGATGCCACAACCAAAATATGCAAAACAGACTGCTTCTCTCTAAACAGAAACAGACCGTTTGCTGCAGGATAAAGCTGAAGAGGTGGCCGTGATCCTTTCCAGGGTTTAGAAACCAACCATTCTGGAAAGTAAATATCATCAACATCTCTTCAGTTCAGATCAGGTACTGCTACTCCAGCCAGATCGATCCTGAGCGCACTGGCTGGTCAAACACTGTAGCAGCTTTTATTGTTTGTTTCTCTCTCTCTCTCTCATCCCCCCCACTACACATTTCTGCTTTTTTCTTTTCATCCTTACTCCACAGAACAGACAACACACACACACACACACACACACACACACACACACACACACACACTGAATTTACAACACTCCTTCCAGAATTGACATCCCCCTCCCTCTTCCACCACTCAGACATGCACATTCACACAACCTGTTTCCAGGTAGTTGTAGTTCCTCTGTGCAATCTGTGGGCCCTGAGGGTCGGCCCAATGTGACGCATTTGAGCGTAAACACTTTAAGGCACCCATGATGCACCATGAACACTAAACACTGTTGGTGCAGGGAATACTGGCCCCAGGGGACCCCGCCCTCACTACCCCACATGGCCATTACAACTAAATTTAAGATCCATGCACACTGTTGCTTCTCACTTAGCTCAAGTGATTTCTCCTCCTGTCTCACTTCCCCCTTCTTCAGCAAGGTTATCCAGGACAGGTATGTATGAAAAGAGAGGAAATGAGCCAGTAGAGACATCATTGCTAAGTGAGATGACAATGGATCTCGCAAGTAAAATGGCTTCACAAAGTCAAAACACTTAAGGCCTGTGGCACTTTTTTTTTTTGCAGTTTCCAAGAAAAGTTAAATATATCATCTGCAGACTCTTCTTTTGCACTACAAGTATGAAATAAATAGATCTCCCTCTTTCTATTTTTACTTAAATATGTGTTAATATTTCCTCTGCTGCTCAAAAAAAATTTTTTTTTTGTTCTGTCTTGCCTCACAATAAAGTCCTTTAAAGATTAAGTTTATTCTTAAACCCCTTCACACATGTAGGCATCTCCTTCCACTGCTCCAGTGGTATGAAAGTCCACAGGATCTCATTGAGGTGGGAAAAAAAAAAAACAAGAAAACAAAAGACAGGGGTAAAAGTCAAAGTAAGAATTTCAAAATTGCAGACAACAAAGAAGCCTGTGGAATCAAAACTCAAGATAGAGGAGGAAGAAATGAAGAAGGGAACGTGAAATAAGGAATAGGGTGTTAATAAATAAGAGCCAGGTGGACACCCTCGCCTGGTTCAACACTCTGTTTCAGCACTGATCATTGAAGACGCTGCTCTCAGCACCAGGCCTGGGCTCTGCGCTGGTCAAAATCAGCTATAAGCCGCTTGATGTGGGCCAACTTGTTGTGCAGGTACTCACATCGCTGTTTCTCCTTGTGGTAGTTGGGGCTGTGCTGTAAAAGAAAACAGGCACATAATGTCAGGCTACAGCTACCACCCTGGCAGCAGCTCCTGCTGTGCAGCAAACGTATAGCTGATTACAACCAACCAGACAGAAGTCTGTAAAGTACGTACTTGTTTCATCTTTTTGTACTCTTTCAAGACTTCTTCTTGCGCCTTCTGTAAAGACAAAAAAAAAGTCAGTTAATGCAAATGCATGCATTTCCTTAATACTACAGGCAACATACTCTACATTCACCAACGTTGCAACCAGAGAAAGTAACAGCAGTAATCATTTTTGCCAATTATTAAACATTATCTTCACCTCTTGCTCCCTGTGTGGAACAACAGTTTGCCACCAGTGGACTAACAGACAAACCCTTCATTTCATTCTAATGATCCCACCTCAACATTTTTTCATGATTCTGGTTCAGTCCTGGTTGTAATCTGCAAGTAACCTAATAACTAACCAAGAACCTCACAGGAATGCATCAACTTAAGGTGACACAAAAATGTTCATTTAAGAACATGTAGTGCAGTCAAGATATTTGTTCCTGTATGACCTGGTACTCTTTGGTGCCAGGTGCCAGCTTGCGGCACTGGGCGTCCAGCTGGGTAAAGTGGCGGGTGATGCTCTCCACATGGGCATGCAAGTGGCGGTACTCATCATACTCTGCATTAAAGTCATCTTTGTAGCTCTGTCGCTGGTCCACAGACACCAACGGCATGTACTTCCTGTGAACACGGCAAAGGGAATTCAGCTCCACACCCACATTTAATTCAGTAAAAACTGTTCAGTCACGTGAAGGTATAAACTTGCATTCTAAGATACGCAAACGTTTCCTCAGTTGTCCTCATTTTGAATACACTGCTCTCACTCGTCACAGTATTTAAAAGGTCTGGGAACCTGACATCTGTTGAGCTCGTCCATTTCTGATAACTCACTCCCTGCACATGTTACTGACATGGCAAGTACAACATAGTCCTAGTGCAGTAATGAAAGAAAAAAAAAACCGTATCACAAATTAAATGCGTTTACTACTGCACTTCCTGGGTCCTAATGCACAAGCTTGTGTCTGTTTAATGATAATTAAATGTTTCAGCATTTTGTGTTCTTGAGAAGAACAAAGACTTCAAGGTTACTCACACTACATAGTCTGGCATCTCCACTGTGGAAGAGAATTCAGTGGACTGGACTGGTTTCTCTTTGTCTGAAGAGTCTGAGAGGAGAGAGGAAAGCATTCAAATGTAAACACTGCACTGATCACCTGGAGTGCACAGAACCGCCACATGCCTAACTGCAGCGATAACACAGGTAAAATCCAAAAGGCACAAATGTTCTACTTCCAAAAATTGTTTAAAAGACAAAGAAAGCTTCAGATTCTATTTCAATGCATTTGCTTAGGATTATCTTGTTTTTCCACTGAGTGATGGTGGGGTCAGCTATTTCCCCCACCCCCAAATGCAAATATACATCAAAATCCACAGTAAATGATGCATGCACTAGAAATAATTCATGTGAAATATCAAAAGTCAAGCGCTCCTGACTTGTTAGCTTCACTTCCAGAACTCGTCAGTACCAGCTAAAATTTCAACACCCCGCTGAAGTAACTGACCGACAATGGGGAAGAAAGAAATTTAAATAATTAATTTTAAAAAGAATTTTTGAAGTGAGGCTTCAGAGTTGCAAGTTGGGAGATGATGGATAGTAGTGAGGTGTACATGAGGGGCAATAAATGGGCTAAACATGCAATGAAGAAAAAAAAACCTGTTATGCTCATGCAAGTCTTGAGACATTTAGTTCAGTGAAGCAGATCATTTAAGGCAAATGGACCTTGATCTTTGTGCGGCTTCTTGTTGATAACTTCTCTGTTCACTTCCTCAGCACTGCACGTCTTTGTGGCTTTACGACTCTCCTCAGCCTGCTCTGATGCACCAGTCCATTTCCCTTTCTCCCGCTCTCGATCTTTGTGCTTCTTGGATTTCTTTTTTTCTTTATTTACAGGGGTACTGGTGAACAAGGTGGAGCTGGTGACGAACGAGGTGCAAGGAGAAGGGATAGATGAGGCTGGTCTGGGGACGGGGGCAGGGTGCCGATAACGCTCCTGCAGGGTTCTGTCAGAGGAGAAGGGACTGGGTGACGGATCTCTGCAGGAGGAACTCTGGTCCATGGGCAGGTCTTGTGTACCACAGCCCTCTGGGGTGCTGGGAGAGTTAGAGTTGGAGGCTGGGCTGGGCTGCTGGTGAGAGGGTGCAGGAGGGTGAGATGAGATGGGGAGATGGGTGGGAGGGCCCGAGGCGATGTTGGAGGGCAAGGACGAGTGTTTAGAGCTGGGGCTGCCCTCACTGTCACGGTGGTCAGAGGAAGATGCAGCTGGCCCTCGATTGCTGAGGTGGGAGATGCGGGTTTTCTTGGGCACCCTAGGATCAATGAAGTCAAAGTCTGGCTCACGCTTCTGTAAGAACGCATCCAGAAGTTAGCCAAAAAAAAAAAAAGCCTTCAGTGTGGGATTGTGCATTACTGTTTATTTGTGCAGATACCTTGGGGGATGTGGGAACACTGTCTTTGGGAGAACTGCTTGATGAGTGCGTTTCAGTAGGAACACCTAATTTGCTGTTTAAAAAAAAAAGGAAAGTTATGTCAGTGGGGAACTGTAACAGATGGGCCACGTTAAGGGCCAGCGCTCAGCTCTCATTACTCTAGGGCCTGCTGACAAAGTCATATGTTTATTAAAGCAAGTCTATGCAGTTCCCAAGTGTTCATACTTAAAACTCACTACTCATGTAGTACACAAGTTATTACTTTCATAATAATTTATACATTTCCTGTTGTGGACAGCAGCTGTAGCCTGACATGTGCCAACAAAGGCAAAGAAGACGACAAAGCTAACAAACATGTATGTAAACTATGCAAGATCTAAAATGTCAAATAGAATCTGCAGGTGTTTATGTGGAAGCCAAATGTTCAACATGTGAACATGTTAAAGTGCATTAAAATGCATAGCTGTGCACATTATAATATGAAAAAATAAAGCCTACTGGTGAACCAAATGAGCTATTCCCTTAACATGATAGATTCTTGATGCAGAAGAACAAAACACATAAACTCAGAGAACCGCTGCAGAATACAACATTTTTCTAGTATTTGGCAACAGATAGAGCAGCACAGTGCTTGTCAAAATTGGTGTTTTTACAGTAAAGTTAGTTTCTGGGCAAAAAACATTCATCTAATATTTCTGATCAACACTGGGATCCACTGCAACAAAAATTACTTCAAGTTGACAGTAGCCACTTTACAAAAATGGTTACCTTCATCCCTCAGGGAGGCAACCCATCACTAAACTAGAACAGATAATTGGATTTATAGACTGAGATGCAAATGGACATTTCTGTACCGAGCCAGGATGCGGTCAACCTGGGACTTCTCATCTTCAGAGTAGCCAGGCCAGTGCCGCTGGACATCACGATAAATGAAGTCCTTCAGTGAGTATGTGTTGTCTTTGGGGTTCAGGTTCGCCACCTGTTTTGTGAGGACACACAGTTTCAAAGTAAACCCACTGAGAGCACGAGAACTACAACTCACAAATGGAAACTTCACATTTCCTGTGCTGACCAGACATCTGTGCATGCAAATGGTTAACGACTAAAAGGCTCATTTCTTGTACAAGGGAATGAAACCTTTATGCTGGGAACCAGTTTCCTCAGGCAGATTTGTGTACCTACGTGTATCTCATGTTTAAGAAGGGTAAGTGGAACACTGGGATCCAAATAAACATTTGAACAACAAAGGTACTTGTGCCAAATACCAAAATATAGTTTTTTGCAAAAACTGATGTTATTGCTGCTGAATTTTAAATGAGGACATGTAAATACTTATGTCTGGGGTTCTTCCACTTTAAGTCTCAGTATTCACAGAAAACATGCCCATCAGTACCTGTTGCAGGGTGGTCCCAAGTGAGTTTCGGTCCTTCTGGTTGATACCATCACGCTGTAAACGAGCAAGCACTTCCAGCTTCTTGTAGGACCTCAGAGCGAGCAGGTGTATGATGCGGTCCCGGAATGACCGCTGGGATACGGGGTTATTGGAAAGGCACTTGCGAATGGTGTTGGCTGGGTTAATGGGTGTGGAACGCTTGCGCTCTGGGACTACCTCTGGGGCTGACGGTGCAGGCTTACGAATATGGACTTGCTTTCCTAGAGACATAAGGTTAAAACAACATTGAACACCTCATTTTGACAGAAAATGGCAGCAGGTTATCCAACGACTCTCCTGTTTACCTCCTGCGCATTTCTGCTTGTCTATTACATTTGAGGAACACAACTTTATATAAATATCCTCTGACGCAGTGTGAGCAACAGCCAATCATGATCATCTCGATTCTACTAGAAATCAAAGCACAGAGTTGTGCACTGCTCCACTGCACAACGTGAAAGGATTTTAAACAAAATGGAGGAAAAACATTGCTGTCTCCAGCTTCCTAGTTCTCTACAGTGAGTATTTCACCCAAGCCAACCTCAAATGAACCTTGGTAACTTAATCTAAAGTTTACAAGAGGCAAAATTGAAGAGTGGCTCCTCAGATCTCAATTTAAACACATTTTGGTCAGAAACGACCTGCTTTTGTCATGCCACGTACATTTACTTTCAGGTTTTTGAAGCAGGAGGCTCCAAAGTTACCCACTGTTAAAGCCAAAGACCAAAGTCAGTCACAAGGCATACAGGCTACTTCTAAACTACACTTCACACTGGACTCCTAAGCAGTTTGAAAAATTGCTTTACACTTGCTTCAGAAAGTATTCAGACCTCTTCACTTTTTGTATACTTCATTTAGTAGATTAATTTTTGTCCATCAAGCTACATTCAATTTTTGGTTTGTTGAGTTACCCAGGAAGAACTGAAGCAGTAATCACCACCAAAGAGGCTTCTACAAAGTCCTGAAAAAAGATTTTAGTTTTTGCAAATTTTTCAAAAAACATTTGTCATTTTATTGAGCAGAGAGCGATGGGCAAAATGACAATTTCATCCATTTAAAATTAAATCTACAACACAATGAAGTGTGAAAAATGCCAAGTCGAAATACTTTGACACAACTATGCATAAAAGTGTCTAACAGACCCAGGACACTTGTTCAGTGCTGCTGAGCTGTGACTGCCTGCACATATTCTTACACCTCTTTGCAGGTATGATGATATTCTAAAGCCTTTTAAGAGATTAAGGTTAGAGAGAGGAAGAGATAGGAACTCGCGGCTTGTCAAGAAACAGACGAGGAGCAACGTGAGATGGTGTAAACCCCCACGCTTTGTGTTCTCTAAAGCCCTTTTCAGACATAGCATGCCAACGCTGCCGACTTCATCAAGCCGTAAAAGGACACCTTCTATCATTCAGATATGGGTGACATTTGCATTAATGTTCCTCATGGCTTCATTCAGATATACCCACAACTGTGATGAAGAGAGCCATGGTACTCTCATATTTGCCATACGCATGAGACCATGGTCAACTTGTGTGTGCCCATCTGTTAACGTGACAGCATGCAGTTTAAACTTGTGTGACGCTGAAGCGATACATAAATGGTACTAGGTCTGACTTAGTATGACTGGCTTCGTGGCTTTTATGAAAAAGTGACTGGGGTGCTTCTTCAGCCATGGAGCCAACATATTCAGATGTCAGATTAACGGAAAAGAGTGCATGTCTGAAAGGGGCTTAACAGACCAATGACTGCTGTAGGAAAATGTCTTCTCTTTCAGAAACTGTCATTCTGTACTAGAGAAGAAGAGGATAAGGATAATCACCTTTATTTGGCCAAGTATGTTACACACAAGGAATTTGTTTCCAGTACAGAACTGAGGCAGCCATCTGTGGTGCCAACTCAACCGATGGCTCTAATCATCGGGAGCAACATGAGGGTTCAGTGTTTTGCCCAAGGACACTTCGACACGTGGACTGCAGGCACAGAGATTCGAAGTTCTGACCCTCTGGTTGGGAGATGACTGCTCTACCCACTGAACCACAGAGTATAGTAACTTAGAAAATTAAATGCCACTGTATTCTAAAGGACCATGGCTGTGTGGCTTTCATTAAAAGTCACAGGCTACAGCCAAAGATAAAAATCCAAGCTTGAGACATTTACCTGAAATTAACAGCCTGTGAGGACCAGACACTAAAGGCCCCTTTTGCATTAATAGATGAGGTGCTCACGCCAAAGCAGCTGCCTGAAGCTCCTATCCACAACGGTTTCTCTGCTGCTCCTCTCGTTTCACTGTTTCAGTGTGGGCCAGTGTATGCAAATCTGTCCCCAGGGCTGAGAAAACCTGGCCTGAGGAGACTGCAAATTATGCAGAAAATTCTGTGAACTGAGCCACACTTCTGATTTAACCAAGGAAGTCTCTGACAAGGGTTTAGATCTAACAGACTATGGTGGACTACAAGGGTGGTTCAGTTGGCTTTGTTTTGTGCATACAAAAATGACTGTTACATCTATAACGATATGTTCACAATCTCAGCTATTTAGTGCATTTTAAAGGATACATGGAGACACCTGTCACCCGTTTCCAAAATAGAGAGAATCTGCAGGGAGTTATTCTATTTTAGTACATATCCAAATAGTTATATTTCAGTTTCATGTCTTACTGTACTTACATTTTCTCATTCATATTTTGTCCCCTCTCTCGCTGCTTTTTTTTTTTTTTATATATAAATAGTCCAGATACTATCTGCATAACTTGACATCTTAATTAATGAACATTTTAATAATAAAAACAAAGCTTTTTAATAAACAAAATCCTGGCATCGGACTGTAGCGGTTGTCATTACCTCTGTACTGGCCCCCAGGCTTGATGAATTTGGTCCCACGTTCGCGTGTGTCCTCCACGGCCTGCGTCATGCGTTCCCGGGTCACTTGGTAGGAGTCATTAGTGGCACATACTGTGATCTTGTCCTGTACTGTCGCCAGTGATGCCAGGCGTGAGGGCCCTGAGCTAAAGAGAAAGCAATGTGAGACAGAGAGGATCATCCTCCAGCAATGTTTGACAAGACAGTAACGTGTGATTCAGCTGACTGGTGATTACCATTACCTCGACACATACTGATGGATGCACTCAAAGCTTCCCTGAGGGTTGTCCTTGCCAACATTAGACAGATAAAAATCAAAATTGTGGAAGGCGTCCGAGGAGGAATGGGTCTTGGGAATTTTAATGTGCTGTAAAAAACATTCACACAATTAGAACTTATACTTGAGTGTCTGAGATGAACCACCAAGATGGACAATGAAATTCATCTAGTTAATTTATGATTATAAAACTGCCATATGCTTAACACTTTCAAGCCTCCCCTGGCTTTTCTCCATACAGTTTGTTTTTAAACTCATACTGTATAGAGGCACTTCTATATCTGAGCTGTGGGGTTTGATATGAACAACATGGGAGCTAGCACTAAACAGGAAGGTCTCTGAGGTCTCAGCAACTAAGGGGAGGCTGCATGTAAGCCAGGTGCATCATGGACTACAAATAGCATGTGCCTCTCTGAACAGCTCAGCAGACAGACACAAACAACATCTGCTCCAATTCCAATCATGATTTTCTGAAGCAATACAAATCTTGTCCAAAGCAAGCATACAGAGCATAAATCATTCAAAGCTAACCTCTTTTACAACTTACAAGTCCTGCTAATGAAAAACCTGGCAGAAAAAGACTCTAGGGTGGCCATCTTCTGGATGATGCCTTGTTGCCTTTTTTATACTTGCACCATAAACAAGTGGCACATATGTGATCATGCTACAATATTGGTGACAAAACCGAGCCATATTTGAGTAGCTAACTTGACCAAGTCAGAAAGAGTCCGTGGTTTTATTGCCTCTAAGACACTCAAGTAGTAGCATCTCAGTGAATAATGAATCCAGCTCAGCACATTCAGTGAATGAAAACATAAAAAAAAAAAAAACATATTAACTGATGTAAAATTAAGCTTGCTGCCAGCAACCTGTAACAGACTGAAGGGTTTTTTTATTCCACAATTTGACACATAATCACTTCTCTGACCCAAATCTCAAAGAGGAACAAAGTACTTACCCCTTGGAGTCCCTTGAATTGTATTGTTGGCCGCAAAGAAGGTACATTCTGAAAGTGATCAAAAACAAGTTTAATCCCATCAGTGCTGCAAAGGAACACTGTAGGAACAACACTAGTTGGGTATCCAACAAAAAAAATGCTGCATAAAGTCAAAATAAGAAACCAGTAGGGGTGTAAGAGTTGAAACAGAAATCACAAACAAAACACCCATGGTCACCAGTAAACACTGAGGCACTGAGGACTGTTGGCACCATGCACATGCCTTCTGTGTCCAGGTAGTAAAGTGTCTTCATAATGCAAAAGAGAAATCATCTCTTTTACATGCAACTGTGAAATGTGTTAACAGTGTCATGTTATGCCAAAAACACGAATCTGTCTGATGCTAGGCTGTAAATAACGGTTGTTTTCATCACAGATTAATCAGCAGATGATTGGTGTCAATAAATGGATTTTTTTTTTTTGAGGGGAGGAGTCAAAGTCTCTGAAAATAGTTTTAAAATGCCCGTCACAGTTTTCTAAAGTCCAAAGTAATTTCAAGTCATTTGTTTTGTCTCACAAGCGGTCTAAAACCTAAAGACAGTCAGCACAATCACAGAACAAAAAAGCAGCATGTCCTCATAACTGAGAAGCTTGAGCTAGGGAATGTTTAGCATCTGAATGATCAGTTATCCAAACAGGTGCCTGTTATTCCTCAATTAATCTACAGATCGTTTTGGTTACAGTCTGACGCACCGTGAGATGAACTGTGAGCAGGGCTGTAAGGATTTGTTTTACTTTGCAATGGTGTTGTTGGCCTCTGCTCTTGTGGAAAATGAAAAGAGGCCACTCTATCCTGCTCAATGGGACAAGTGACCAATAAGGGCCAAAGAGTGTCAGACCAGTGGTACTGCACAAAGACGGTTGGCCACATAAAGCATACTGTGATTAGATGGTGCACTGGCAGCTTGGTGTTTCCAAACTTGAGTTTAAATCTACAGAGGGACAGTGTGAATCAGCCTTTCCTGTATCTTCTGAAGTGGTAGGTAAAAGTGTTGATTTACATCAACCGATTAACAGAATGCTCATTTTACTCAACATCTTCTCTACATTAAAATATGTTTGCTAAATAACATGATACAGATTATTCAGAATGATGGTTGTTAAAGCTAAGCTAAAGCTAAGCACCGACTGATTCCATCCCAGACTATACATACTCTTACTCACCAACCAGTTCATACACACACAGTCTGATCACATTTCACATCACCACAGAAAGACAAAGATAGCCAGCTTCCACAGTTTGATGACTGGTTCAGCTACAACGCATGCTACCGACCGGGAGAGAGAAACAAAAAGCAGGCAGTTTTGTGCTGCCCAGTCAGCAAGAAAGGGCAGACTGTCATTCAATGTGGCATACAGACAAACACTTTCACATCTAGTAAGGTTGCAGCATGGACTGTGATGTCTCAGAATGGGACTCAAGAACCATCTTAAATTGTGATTTATAGCCACATTTCAAACATGAATTTCTCTCAAGGCAATCTGTAATAGGAAGCAAAGGTTTCACATACAGGGGATGAGTAGTGTATGGCACATATACAGATACAATATGTAGAATAAAAAGCAGTTGCAGAGACGTCTGAACACAACAGCCCCATGAATGCTAAGGGACAGGGCATTAGCCCTGTCAGTGGAAACCCAGCCCCCGTTATGTAATGGTGGTGTTGTTGGCAGTGTTAAGGTCAGGTAACCTGGCTTCAGTCCTCTGCAACTCTAGACTGCAGAGATATCTAAAGATCAGTTCACCTGTGTAGCACCTCAACAAGATTACACAGTTTGTACAGTTCAAGATCAACATGCTATATTTAAGCTGCAGGAGTAGGCTGTGCCCCGTTAGCACACCAAGTTTCAAAAGCCTCTCAGTGACTGGCTCGTGTCAAGCTCTGGGGCAAAATACAGTACACTTAATAAGTAGTTTGTTGAGAGCAGAAAGTGCATTGATATATTGTGTATTGAACAAAAGGGCACTTAACTATCTTTACAAAAAAACCATGTTTGTTGCTGTCAGATGCCATATTTTTGTATCTTCTGAACAAGTCCACTGATGCAGCTTGACAGTAGTGGTTATATGCAAAACAATATGTCAAACAAGCCCAGATTAAATATTTGTCCTGTGTAAACCTTTTGAGACGGTTTCTCATATAGGGTACATCCTGTACAGTGTGGCCGCTCGTTTGAAATAAACATTTTACAATTAATAAAAATATCTAGCTATAAAGCGATGAGCCTGGCTGGGATGTTTCCAGTTAGCTACAACTTCTAACCACATGCTAAAATGACCAGCCACCGACATGCTTTAAACAAGCCAATCTGTAATGGTTTTAGTTGCATTTAAATTTACCCGTACCGTTACATTTTCACCCTATCCCTAACGTAAATACACCCTCGTTAAATTAAAGTCTATGTTGGTTATTGTTACCCGAGCTTTCCCAATTAAACACAATTTTCAGGACATCTCTGGTGCCAAGTCGTATGAAATTACCACATCCCCGATTTGGTAAAAGTAATATTAGTTTGACGAGAGCAAACGGGACTTGGCTGCGCAGGAGAACCAGACTAACATAGAGTTAACGTTGGCTAATCTGTGTTTAACTTTGCCAACAACTTTTCTAGGTTAAAAAAACATTTGTCAGTTCGTACAACTTGCTCAGAACATAAGACCAAAGCCTCACTTGTCTACTTCACGTGACTAATTTAATCACACAAGACTAGTATCACCAAAAATCCAAGCATAAAGTAGCTCTATCAACAGCTCAGCTAACTCTGTAGCTTTAACGCTAACTGTGCGTGGCAGTTGGACTTCCCAGCAGAGACGAGCCGTGTCAGTCCGACAATGCTAGCCAGTTTAAAAGTGAAATAAGATTGTTTCACTCACCATACAATTTTGATAGCTCTCTATGGCTCTGAGTGCTGTCTCGGTCAATTTGACGTGCAGTACGGTGACTCTGTCTGCGCACTGTTGGCCACAATTTAATCCGTACCTCCCATCCTCGGAGAGCGCCGCCATCTTTACCAGTCTTCCACCATCGTCCCTCTGAGGCTGGGGCATTTAGCAGCCCAGGCACCCTTCGCTCACTCTGGCCCGGGGAGGGACTACAGCTGCTACCTGCAGGGCTTGACAGCAATGTATTGATTGTCATTTGTGAGGTTTTCAGTTTTCAGCCAGTCACCTTGCAGCATTGCACACATTAGGGTGCTTTAGAGGATATTACTATACTGAAGTGTGCAACGCAGGCTCATGCTCCTATTACAGCAGAGCTTTGCCATGCCTTTACAGAATCAAGACTTCATTGGGTCATATTTGTTCTTTTAAAATTTCATTAGAGGAAAACTTTAGTAACCAGGTTCCCTTATTTTGTAAGCCCACAGCATCCCTCTCAGTCACATACTGTAGTCACATCTTGGCAAAACTATCTGCCCTGAAATGGTAGAATTAATTCTCCACTAAAGGTAGATTTTGTAGGCTGTACAGCAAAATAAACACAACTTTGTTCACCTGAGTATGTTTTTTATTTGGTATTTTAACAACTTTTGTAACTATAACAACCCATATCAACAATATTTTCATAGTATAGCAGGAAGACAAATTCACAGTCAAGTACTACAGTACTTTGCCTATATACTGGCCTATATTATCTTTCATTTGTTTTTGTTTTTAATGATATGACATATAACGTGCAAGTGTGTCTCCGTGAGAGCTGCACCTCCACTATCTCACAGTGTCAGTCCCCATGACCAGATGATTAGGGCAGCATGTTTTGGTGTGGCATAGCCTCAGGCAGGGTGTGGAAAGGCCTGTGTGAATCCAGCAGATTACTAAAGCTCTTACCCCACCCATCCCTCTGCAAATCAAACACATAAACACATCATACATTCAAGACTTCATACACTTTGACCCTTCAACAAATTAGTTTGCACTATTTATAAAAAATAAATGTATACACGGTCAATGCACAATATAAATCTGAAACAACATTATTATCATCATTATAAGTACCAGTGACAACTGCCTCAGAGCATTATACTTTTTCTGTAGTGTGCCCCCCTTTTGTTTAAATACATGCACATTTTAAATGCTAAGTTAGTCTGACTCCAGTTTGTCTGACAGGCTGCCTGCTGTTGCAAACAATTAAAGCCCCTGGGATGAATAGGACTCACAGAGCTTCCCTGTTTACAGAAGCTTGAAGGTGTAACCTGGTGGAAGCTTAGAAGCACAGTATGAAGAATGCCTTAAACTTACACACCCTTTCTTCAAGGCTAAACATTAAACACAAGAAGACTGTGGATAACTGTGAAGTTCTTGCTGAATTGTGCTAACAGAAACACTGACAATTTTCTTCAAGTGCTGCTAAATTAATAATTATTATTAAAATAATTTTTCATCACAGTTCTGTGTAATACTAGGGACGTCCTGAATGACTACAGAGGTTAATCAGTATCAGTATCAGTAATAAAGATGCTCCATTTCTGTTGCTAGATTCAATGGTTTACATTTAAACTTGGTTCCCATGTGAAGACCTCTAATAAAGTAACCTCTAGCAAGTAATGTTACTCACAACCACTAAAATCATTACAGAGCCCATGTACAAATACTCAAGGCTTTTCATGCAATAAATGAAAAACTGACTATTTATCTTTTTTGATAAAGAAATTTACTGTTTTGTGTCTGGTTATATTCAAATGTTTCTGTTGGTTCAAGAAGCAATAATGCAGATATTGCTAATGGTTGGAGTATGAAATATTGTTAGGTTTCTCTCTAGAGTATTAATTGAATAGTTTCTTGAAACTATGTTTGCACAAAAAGTATGCATTTAAAAAATAGCCACGCTTTGAGCAGTGTTTGTTTTATGGTACAGACTGAACACATTCAATAGCAGATGCTTACTGGCGTCATTCAGTATAACTTATCTTGGAAGGGTTGCAGTATTATTGAATTTAATTAAATTATCTCTGCATCTAAACATGGGATAGATAACAATAAACCAATAATCTGTCAGAGAAATTAATTGGTTCAATATTAGAATTCACCTTATTATGTCCAATATTTACAATATTGTGTAACAATTGTATATAGTTTAATGCAACTAAAATAAAGGGGAACTGAATTATCAACACCTACTTTTGAGTGAGTAACTGCACCGTCATCAAAAAGCAATTTAACTTACCTGTAAGTGACCTGTAATAGACACTAATAAGCAGCCATGGCTTGGCATAGTGGCTCATTAGCTAGCAGTCTTGCCTCACAACAATATCCTGAGTTGGATTTTCTCCAGATGCTCCAGATTCTGTCTTCAGTACAGGCACAGGGCCTGTGCACTGCAGATTACAGACCACCATTTTAATTGTTATAATGTATATGGTTTGTGTTTGTCTATGGACACAGAAAGGACAAAATGTAAATTTGAAAATGTATAAACTATTTTCCTCTTTTTGAACACTGCTCCAAGATAGTGCCTATGTTCATTAACATGAAATGTATAAGGATGAATTTGCAGATTCACCTTGACTTGCTCCTCTTGTTTATTCAGTTACAAATGCTCCCTTGGTGTACAGCATCAACACTGAATATTTTAGTATGTCAGTCACGGAATAATCAGAGCAACCTCATGCTTCACCACTGTACTGAGGAAAATCCGCTAAAGATCACTTAGCAAAATGTTTCTTTAACATCAGCCAGACTCATTGAATTACACATCTGTTAGGCAAGTAAAACTGCTTGATTAGCATATTCATCCATGCATTGCTACTAATCATTTACTATTAATATTCATTCATTGGTTTTGTAGATTAGCTAACATTACTGCAGTTAAACACATCACAGTGCCAGTTGTTAGCTAATGGTTAAGGGCTGTCACTAATATGTTCACTGTAATCAAAAGAAGCAAATTTATCACCAAATACCAGAACATGCATGTGAACAAAAACAATAAAAAAGATCAGAGGAAAAGGCTATAGTGTAACTGGGAGTCGTCTTTCCTGCACACGGCACAGGCACAGCTAAAGGTCACAATGAATTTAAACCAAATGCTGAATAATATCAAAGTAAAGTTAAAAACAGTCTAGCCTGTTTTAGCAAAAGTGTTTCCATATGTTCACACAGTAAGTTCAACAATTCTGATTAATTCTAATCTTTTGCATCATCACCTTACCGCTTCTGAATACTTGTATTCTTTGTTTGCAAGAAGGAACATTATATCTTTCTACACATTAAGCTCTAATAGCTGACACTCATAGAGACAAGATTACATGCATAATTTTATACTGCATTATGGCATAAGAAGGGGTACTCAGCATAGACTATTTAGTCTATGCAAAAAAAAAACTTTCTATCTAAAACTACAATGCAGATACAGAAAATGTTTAGGAGCATCCACTGATGACAGTCTTATTGTGCTATGGGTGTTGTTAAATGAAAGCAGGGTGTTATTAGACATAAAGTTCCTGTCTACAGGGTAATTCAGTGTAAAGCTGAACTGACATGTGAATGCAGACTCTAAAAAAACACACACACACAGAAAGAAAGGATTGTTTGGATTAGTTTCAAAGAATTATCTTAGGTTCACCTCTAGTTTCATGCCACATGGAGACCTGGCCCTGCAGACATATTCTGTTGGCAGTGAGAAAAAGCCATCTGCTACTGTTTAACCCTTCCATTAAAACACATCACACAAGGAAGAGAAGGCAGAGTGTAAGCGTGGCACATTTGTGTGTGGAGACAGAAGGAGGCTGATTCACAGATGACATAACAACCATCATCAGGTCACTGGAGTTTACCTATTTTTCCAAGTCATACAGCAAGTAGGGAAATGGCAGTTGTAATGGAAATTTACTTCAACACACCCTGAACCAGTTTCACCAGTTTCAAAACTTTATTAGCTTTTGCTGAAGCTCAAACTATAGCTTCTATACATATGTAACCTGGAGAAGCAGCATCCTGTTCTTTCCATTTTTCCCCCATCTGGTATTTAAAGACCTTGAAACAGCAGCTGTTCCAGTTAATGATTAGCCACTGCAGGGAAAGTGTACGCTTACACTGTTGACTCTTATCACTGCTGGCCACAAAGCCGGAGCAATATCTCCAAGGCTGATAATAATGGAGAAGTGAGTGCTTCATTTAAAGGGACAGGTCAATTTCTTTTTTGTCTGCTGTAGAAGAGATAACAAAGGCACTGTTCGCATAAATGGCTCTTTAATTGAGAGCAGATTGTGCTTCTGCATACTTATAAGCAATTGTAGGCTTCATTTATTGGCTAATAGAACAGAAAATTAAAACTGAAAAAGACTGAATTATTAATTGAACAAAGATGATTGGAACATATGCATTCTCTTCATCTTTTTAGTCCTTCATGAGGCTCAGGCAGCAGAACCTTCTGACCCTCCTTTTACATTTGCTCAACACTTGTGCTCCTCTCTTTTTTGCTTATCATAAGCCTTGCATTGCCTCCCTAAAGAGACTAGCCTGTATACAGGTACGTCGGCAGCCAGGGCCGAGTCCCACCAGCTGTACTCTGGTGACAGCACACAGGTTGGCCTGTGGTCAATCAAGTAACGATTTAGGTAGCTCTCCTCGAGTCCTCTGGCCACTACCCTGTTAGCCTGGTCCTGCAGAATGAGCAAAGAACAGGCACGAGCCAGTCTGTGCATCTCAGAAACCAACCCTCCATACAGCTCAGAGGTGTAGTAGTAGTCTCCTTCATCCTCCTCCACACAGGCTGATGAGACTTCCTCATTTTCATAAGGAAAAGCCTTTCGTGGCATCCCATAGAGCTCAGGGTGCAACGTGGCCACCAGGTCTCCTAGAATTTCTTTTCCCACTGGTGCCACAAACTCCTGGTCAATGTCAGCACAGAAGATGTAGTCAACCTCACTGCTGACTTGGTCTTTAATGGCATCAGCAAGCAAGGCCATGCGACGATAGGCCAACCTGTTCCAACCTGGCAGCTCAGCAATGGGAATCACCATCAGATGGCGTTTGGGCCCCAAGTGGATGGGGGGATCCAGAGAACGGGGATTGTCTGTGAGGATGTAGTAGGTGACCATCTGACCGGGGAGAAAGTAGGTTTCAGCTGAGGAGAGGAAACGTTGGACAAACTGGCCATAAGTTCCCACAACAAGAGCCAGCAGACCTACACGGATCCCCCGTTGTGTATATTTAGCTCTGCACCAGGTCGAGTTGTGGGTGTCACCCCACACTAAAGGAACGCCCCACGGTGTCTCCAGAGGGGTTTGTGGCACTGCTGCTCTGACAAACGTTGTGTCTGTCAAGACTGTTCCCCTGTCCACTCCCATGGCATGGAAGATAGCATGAGGTGACTTCACAATGACAGCAGCTTTACGTTCATTAAGAAAATCTGAAGGCAAAACAGATTTTTCTTTTTACACCATTTTATAAACCCCAGTTTTTCTGTGACACATTTTTTAAAGTACATTTTTGTGAAACTGGAGAAAAACACAAACGATCTTTTACTTTAACTTACAAAAATTTGCATGCATTTCAAACATCCATGTGTATTTACTGTGGTGACTTGGTCCAAAATATTAGAGCACAACAAATTCTTCTCTACACTTACATACGATAAGAAACAGGAGAACACAGTACAGGACCAGGTGTGTTCTGGTCACTCTGACTGGTCCTGTGTGAAAGACAAACACACATAGGCACACACACATTTAATAATGAACCTTGTACAAGTTAAATATTTTTAAATACTCTTTCAGTAAGCACATGTTACTGACAAATGTCCCTCTCAACCCTGACAGGTAAAAAGCCTGAGCTCATAGGAGTTTCAAAGAGACTGCACAAATAAACAACACAAACAAAAACACAAACTGTCATCTTTAAGACATATGCAATAATTAAATAATTAAATTTACTGAAATATTATGATCAAATTAACTATTGATATACAAAAAGACAAGAAACAAGTGACAACTCACATGAGCAAGCAATATTAAAACCTTTTCATGCATGTGATGTTGAGCAAAGAGGAATAGCAGAAGACTGGGTGTTAGAAGTTTATTCACAGACTGGTTTTGAATGAGAGCTGCACATTGCTGCATGCCATAGAACCTAAGTAGAAGCACAAATGACTGGAAGTAGATTTTTATCCCCAAAATCTCCTCATGTGTTCTACATATGTGTATGTTTTCAGATTCCTGAATTAATCAACCCAACTTTCCCTCCAGGGCGTAGTTTCAGGAGCAAATTTCTCATAGAAGATCCCTGAGTAAAAACTTTAAAGCCTTGCTGGCTCAATTTAAATCCTGTGACAAAAAAGCAAACAAGTTTTAATGGCACAAGTACAACAGTCACAAGCCAGTAACAAGCAGTGACACAAGCACAAAAGACGGTGCAGTGGCTGAGTGTGTACTGACCTGCGGACATCCTGCAGAACGGTAGCAGTGCCATACTGTGACCTGCTGGTGGATAAAAGCACTAACCTATGACCTATGTTATTTTTCTCTGATTCGTCCTGCAAATATGACGTTTAGCTCACTGTTTTCCTCCAGAGATTACGTTCTTGACTTGCCTCCCTTTCTCTCTCTTCTTGTTGCTTTTATGGTATTTTCCACTCCCTCCTCCATATCTTCCTTCTTCTTGCCCCCCCCCCGCCCCCACCCCAAGTCTTCTGCTGTGTTTAGTTCTGGAGCCAAACCAAGGCAACCAGATGTGCGAGGAATCTGGACAAATGGGAGGAGCTGAAGAGTGGAGAATAAGGCACAGACAAGGAAAGAAAAGAATTTAAAGGTAAAGTTGTATAAACGGTAAGGAGAAAAATCCTTTCCTGGTACTCATGTTGGAAGTGTGACAATAAAGTTTAGGTAATAGATGCTACTATGTCAGGTTAGGGTCTAAACTCTCGGAAGAACCACAAAAAATGCTGATATATTCCTTGAGTTTATTCTTCACCCAGCAGACTGCCAGTTTATACATCTATATCACTTCATTATCCTATTTTGATGTGAATAAGCAGAAAGTATATCATGCAGACATAATTATATATTATAAACCAGACCACGTCAGCAGGGTGTTCTACTGTTTTTGTCCAGGAGGTGGAGACACTCAACAGGAAATTCAATGAAAGAAACTACTGTATGACCAAAGTAAACATAAAGAGACTACAAAGTTTGTAGACTGTAATAAATATTTCAGACCATGAGTCTATGTAGACTTATCATCCATGTGTAGTTGACTTTGGGAAAAAAAATAATCCTTCTCAAAGTCTCAAAAAGCCTTGAAGGAAATGTCTATTAGACTCTAAGTAGTGAACTCTAGGTCACATTTTATAGATGTGAGTGATTGTGAGTGTTGTGCTCATTTATTTATTTTTTTTATTTCATCCGTTGGCTTAACAAATCTGGGTCTTGTACTTTTAATGCATCTGTTGTCATAGACCTATGATCTGTCAGTACCAGTTGCTCTCGCTAAGTAGAACACAAACATCCAGTTTAAACTTCAGTCCACACATCAACACCCACTGCTTTAGTTTCCTGACAAAACACAATTTATGCATAATAAGTAGATGTTTTACACATAGTACTGAAAAATTCAAATTCAAATTAATGAAGTTCATTACAGTGTGTTACTTCAGCCTCAGCTGGTGTCACCTTCCGGGTTTACTATAATGCTGCCCAAGACTCAAACAGACTCAAGGGGTCACTTTGCAGTTTAATACAATAAATCTCATTACTTTTATGAACAGCCATACAGAAATTGCAACATAATATTGGTGTGTGTAAACAACTTTGAACTGAAGCATCAGTCCAGAATAAAAAACAGCACAGGCTACACTAAAACTAAATAAATTACAGAGCACATGTAAGCTACTGTCCCCAAGATCTTCTTTTTCCTGTCCCCTTGTTGGCAGAGAAGCTAAGCAGGCAGTTCCAAGCTGGAGGATAAACTCTGCATAGAGGTTTCATAACTATTCATGTCATAAACACTTAGACTAGCATCTGTAAATTGTTCTACACCATGTGGAAATGGGTATGCACATTTATTATACCATATATTAAGGCTCTCAAGATGAATGTGCTTTAAGGTTGCACTGCAGAGCCCCTACTCTTGGTCAGCTTCTGAAGTGTGATAGGTCCTTTAATACCCAATAAATAATACCAGAGAATTGATTTAGTTGCAAATATCCAAAAATCAGTCCAGGATTCAAGGAGTAGATAATGTACAAATGACATTTTAACTATTTGCACAATAACTGAATACTCAGAAACATTTTGACAGCAGTGAGTTTGGCAGTGTTCGTTGGTAGTTGTGACAACTACACTGGCTCTGCAGCTATCGAGTGAACTGTGCCACAAGAAAATAAACTGTTTAAGGGTTTGATACTGTATATACTATTTCCTTAGAAAAATATTTCTTTTAATGCAGCATTATACTTATACAAAATTAAACTGATTGCACAAGAAGAAGATTCATCTGTGAATTTTTTTTCACTTTAATGTGTTGCTACTCCAACTGAAAGATTCTCCAGTGCTCTGTCATTTATTACCAGAGTCAAGCTTTTTATGTTTCCCTTTTTTCTGGTTTTATAATTGTCTCATCTGCATGATGTTATTATAAATTCCCCTTCATGCTAAATATACAGCATTTAATACTTTGAAGAGTGCAGAATACAATTCTGTTCCTCTGTTGAGCTTTTTTTTTTCCTGAGAACACAGTGCTTTTGCCAGTATGTTTAAACTTTTAAAACAGCTGGTCAATATCAAATTGTGTTTCATTTTAAATGTTTGCTGACTCTAATTTAAGGACTTGATGTCAGTTCTTAAGGACCAATTTGTCTTCTAAAGTGAGTAAGTGTTAAATTATAGTGAGAAACACAAACAAACTTTATAGGATATGAAAAATGGCAAAAAATAAATAGAATCTGGATTTTTGAAAGCATGTCAAGTGTTTTCAAAACTATATTACAATCATCATCTTTGTATAATATATGGATAATATATAGATACTAATACAAAACATATTCTAAAGGTGGTGTGCTTGAGCGGGCAGTGAAGAGAAGAGAGTCAAGGTTTACCATTTGTCTTACTATTTAAATGCTTTCACTTTCACTACACAGAGATACAATTTGTGGCAAAGAGGCTTGAAACACATCCATGATTTGAATCACATGTGGACCATGGAAATTTTGCATCACTGAATTAAAGAATTAATGAATGTATGGTGATTGGTAAACAAAGGTAAAGAGATATGCAGCATTTTGGGGGAAAACAGAACTTAGTGGAAGAGTTGTTTCCTTTATTTCTTCTCTTCTCCTCCACTGCCGAATCTTATCCTTCTGCTTTATCTCTTTTCTTTGCCTTGTTCCTCTGCTCCCCAACCAACATATAACCACACTTCCCCCTTATTTTATATTTTTCTTTTCCTCTTCCTTCTTGCCTCTCCTCTCCTCCAGGCCTTCATTTGCTGTCATGATCTATCATTTCAAACAGGGCCTGCAGCAGTCGGTCATCTCTGTGCCTGTATGGCTTGGCACTGTAGAAGCCATCACTGTAGTCACTGTAGATACTGTCCCCAGTGCCCCGGTACTTGTTGATCATATCCATAGCTTGGTACAGCTGCTGGGGTGGGAGTCTAGTAGCAGGAGGAGAGAAGCTCCTCCAGGCAGAGGAGGCCCGACCTATGGCCGGAGGCTGCGACAGGGCTGGGATATGCCTGTTGAAGGCCGTCTGCAGGAGACGCAGCAGGGCCAGGGAGCGGGAGTAGGGTGAATCTGAGGGCTGTTTGGGCTCTTTCTTAGAGCTGGAAGGAGGAGAGGCTTGTGCAGTCTCTGTCTTCTGAGGTGAATGTGCCTGTGTGGGCTCCTGTGTCAGCAGACAAACAGAGACATGTTACTGATACATAATGCACACTGTGAGACAAAACTGTAGGACAATGGATCTAAAATTAAAAACAGACTGGTATTTCATTCTTGTGTTGTGCTAAAATCATAGGCATAAAAATGTTAAATGTTAAGTGAGATGACAAGTACCACTCTCATATAAGAGTGGAGCTAGCTCTCATATTTCCAGGAGCTAGTTAGTTTAGCTTAACATAATGAGTGTAAATAGCTAGCCTGGCTCTATCTAAAGCAAACACTTTTTGTTAGTTTTTGTAAAGATTAAACAAACAAGATGCAGCATGTTAATTAATGAGGTTTAGAGCTGCTGATAGGAAGCTTTTATTACCTTTTGACAGAGCCAGTGTAGCTATTGTTGCAGTTTCCGGTCTTTACGCTAAGCTAAGCAGACTGATATTGTATAACAGTGTTATCAATCATCTCAGCTAATTCTTGGCAGCAAAGCATTTCCCAAAGTGTTGACCTATTATATTGGTGAAAACCTCATAATCATTGTTTTAAATCCAGTGTGCTATACTACAGAGTCTGAAACAGACATATTTTAATATGCTAATATATGACTAGTGGTGCAAATGAGCTGTTCAGCTAACCCTGGCACATTTACACACATTTTACTAATATCAGTGTTGATTAATGTACATTGTCCCATATAAGTAAATAAATAAATAAATACATACTTACACTTCACTGTAAGTGTAATATATTACTAATAATCCAGTGAATTAACTCTGTATCAGGTGCATTTCATTGTTTTTTTTTTCATCACAAATCTGTCTGTGACAAAATCATTTTTGAAATATTTGTAAGATGGACATTACCACTGTACTAGGAAACAAGAAACTGCTGTAGCATTTTCATAGTTTTGGTCATTTTTGTGCCACCTCAGTTCTCTTTACCAGGTGTTATCAAAAGTATGTTCAGTGTCACCCAGGCTTTGATGTCATAAGCCTACCATAACATTCTTGCTCATGCTCTTCCTCTAACATCCACACCAGGTTTCTTTGTAGGCCTGTCATTTTAAATTTATTTGCAGTGTATTCACCTCCATCATGTCATCCATATGTTCCACACCACGCCTGTCATTCTGCACTGCGTTATAGGGAATATAGACTCTGGGTTTCTTCATGTGCTCTGGCTTCTCTGTTGTTCCGTGCAGAATCAACTTCCAGCTCAAAATCCGACCCTTGTTCTCCATACGGCCCGACTGTATGGATGGGGTAATGTTGGTTACATCTCAGGAAAAACTGACAGAGCTCAGAAATAGCAATATGTTACTTCATTAATACCCATTTGAAAGAAAGTTTCTGGGCCACTTATTGTGCTTATAATTTATATATACTAAACTACATGCTTTAATTCTTCCTGTTTTTTGTATGTAACAGTGGAATTCTTGTTTTGATGTCATGTTGAAAAGTTAAACAAATTTAAATAAACTCAAAGTAATTTCAAATTACACCTGAATACGGGTGTTTTGTCTTCAGAAAGGAGTGTAACTCACAGTGTCTGTGATCTTCAGTGTCCATGTACCAGCAGGATCTTCTCCCCATGAATGAACAGACATGAAGTCCCAGTTTCTGAAGCCATTAGATGACGTGTCCCTCTCCCGCTCAGCCAGCAGCACTGTACTGGTGCCTGAGGGAAGATCCAAAGGGACAGATCAGTTGAGAGCCTTGTTATTACTCTCAAATGTGTGTGGATGTGTGCATATCTCTTACCAGCTGGGGAGGTGAGTGTGATATGCAGGTCCCCTCTCCTGGTGTATTCAATGCTGGCCTCCACCTGCACATGCTCCAGTGAATGGACTGTGTTCCCCTGTCCCTCACAGGCTTTGGTTGGAATCTCTATAGTGATCTCCCCGGCTGCTTTCAGCTCCCTGTGGGATGTATTAAAATAACAGGGAATGAGACACACAAACAGCTGTCCTTGACAACACTAGTTTGTATGTGCCGTGTATTTTGCTAATGTGTTCTCTTTGCTATATCTAGGTAGGGGAAACAGCAGCAGGGTGGAAAAAACTTGTACACATTACATGTTGTTTTGTGATAGTTCATTGGACAATGTCAAATTTTGGAACTATTCAGCACATCGTGCATGTTAGATGTAGATTTGCATGCCTTTGGTCATTCATGGGCAAACATAGTTAATCCCCATTTTTCCCAGACATGAATGAAAGGATTGTTCCAGCTGGCATAAAGCTAGAAGGAGCTGTAGACCACTAAGCATTAGCTGAAATGTAAAGTCAAATCTCAAGATTAAACTTGGGTGTTGCAAGGTAATGGGGAGTCTGGGTGTCATGTTACTGAGCCACATAGTTCAAACTGCAAAATGGACACATAAAGATTATAGAACTCAGTTAGCCTTAGCTGCTGCAGTATCAAAAGGACAAAGCACAGCAGCTAAGCTTTAGCACTTGATGTTCTTTGGTTAAAAAGGACTGTAAACAAAACATATGGTAAGAAAACAGAGGGATAATAACTCCTCTGACTTTCTGTCCATGCTTGGTGGATTTTCCTCTGGATATTTCTCTACAATGTTGTGATTTTTATAATGGTACCAACTGCTTCCCAGCCTCTATCATTATATACTAATTACAAGCCCATATAAGACATACAAAAATGTTCACATAATATACTGTATGACCAGAAATCCTGGGCCAGTGGTTGTCACTGTTAGAGCAAAAACACTAGAAGCAACTGAGATAACATTTTAATTCACTAGCTAGGATCACGCCTCGATGAGGATGGATGCTCAGCTGATGATCAGCAGTTTGGGGACGCTTCTGAGGGATCCGCGCTGCACTCAGGCTTGACAGATCCCCCGTGTGGAAGCGTGAAGACAGGAGGAAGGAGTAGGAGATAGAATAAAGGAGGACTAAAACAGAGGGAGAAGGACAAGTAGATAGAAGGGAGGGAGGGTTATGAAAAACAAAAGCGGCCGATGCTGTGTTTATGGAAGTATTTATAGGAAGTAGACAGGAAAAGGATGAGATTAGAGGTGTGGTCCTGCTCCTGAATCTCCAATCTGCATCTACATTGACATCTAACATTCTAATAAAATCAGGTACAAGATAAAAGCTAGAGGACATTCCCATACCTTGGCTGGAAAGAGTCATCTCTGACAATACACTGCTTTTTTTCAGGCACGTGCTTCCAGGTGGCCGGGTCAGCGAGGTCCACCAGGGCTTTGGCATTGAGAAGGCCGAAGCCAAAACGACTGTTGACCATCAGTCCTGCTCCGTTCCTCTTCCAGCCTGGGTTATTAGCCAAAGGATCAAACTCTGAAGTCCAGACCACAATGTGCTGCAGGTCTCTCCAGGTTAGATCTGGACTGAGGGGAGGGAAAGATGAACAGGGTTGAAGACAAAGGAATTTTAAAAATGCAAATAATGATATATACTGTATATGTAGACATGGCTATTGTAACTATTGTAAAATTACAATAAAGCACAGAATCTTTGTGTAACAGGCTTTATGGCATACTTTTTTTCCAGTGCCAGGGCAAATATCCCAGCAGCCAATGGGGCAGAGGCTGATGTTCCAGTGTGAGTCTGAGTGCACTCATTGTGCAGATCAGCACTTGTCTGAAAGCAAGCAGGCAAACAGTAACTACCTAATATGATGTAATGTGACGTAATGTGACACAGCACGGCTTAGCATAGCATAAAAACAGAAAAGAAGGAGCACAGGTACTCACAATCCTCTGGTCGGTGTAGTCTCCACTGCTGTACGCTGTAGCCAGAGTAGAGGAGCATTTCTCAGCGTACCACGGGGACAAGCCCTGCTGGGAGGCGCTGCTGATTGAGATAGTGTAAATGCTGTCTGTGTAGCCATCACAGTCACAGTTATCTCCCTGCCGGCCACCATTACCAGATGCCCAAACAAAGATAGAGCCTTTCCCACCACGACCCTGTTGAAAGCATGACGGAGAAGAGAAGCATGTGTGCGTGTGCCACAAAATAGACACTGTCCAGCATGAATCTTTGCTAACTATGACCAATGACATTTTGTCATTGGAAGCTTCACTCCTAGCAGCAAACTACATTGTCCTTATTGATTCTATTCTATCTGATTGCCATCACCGCTGGAGATAATGACTCAAGCAACCTCAGTTTGACATCACACCAGCTGACTGCATGTTTTATCATTTACCTTCTGGATACCATATTCAAAGGCCTTCTGGGCCAGGCGGCCGGGACCCTCCACTGTCTTTCCATCATCATTGGGTCCCCAGCTGGCACTGTAGATGTCCACATGGTCTGGATTGAACCCAATAGAGCTGGCCTCAATGGCATCAGTGACAATGCCATCCAGCATACGAATGCCTGAACAGAGAGAGACCGTGAACTTTTAGCACAGTGCCCACTTCATTTACTGGTATTAAAACTCATGGACACGCTGACAATATATGGCTATTTCATAGGGACAAAGTAAAAACAATTAATCAGTCTACTCCCTCATTAAAGAAGTAAAAAAAAATTAGAAAGAAAAAAATTTGAAGTAATTTACTTAATTTGCATGTTATGGATACAATGTCGTTTTCATGGCAGTTAACATTTGTAATTTTCCTATTTTAAGATGCAGGTACTTCTGGAGCACTAAGAACCAGATGGCTCTTCAGATGTTCCAGTTCTAAAGAAATATGCAAACCACTGTTTAGGGGGATTGGCACTCAGTAAATTTGGAGAGTGACAATATGCAACCATTTGGAGTAAAACTCAGGCTTCCAACAGGAACTCTCCTGTCCCCACTGGCTGGAAATAAAATAAATAAAGATCCAGGGATGTGCAGGCACATTAGATACAGGCAAGGTGTTGATGAATGTGCATGGCGATTCTTTCTTGTGTAAGAATTTTCCAAGCATTTCTTAATATGTACAATTAGAATAATTCTATAATTGCTACTATAATAATGACTAAAAACAAAATTCATGCCACTGTTAACACACACTCTAATTCAAGTTCTAATTCATATTTATTCAAATTCCACACAACAGGGTTAGTACCGAGAACTACAAGTCACTATGCATTGTGTGCAAAGATGTAGACGAAGTGCCTTGCAATGTGATGTGTCATGCTCAGATGCTCATAAGCAGATTTACCAGCTTACCTCCAACTTTAGAATTGTATGCCACTCCAACTCCACATTTATTGTTGTCTGCCTGCATAGCGATCTCTCCAGCACACCTGGTCCCATGCCTAAGAAGAATATTTAATGTCATATGTACACCTAACTGGAAACATTCACAAACATTGTCTTTCTATCACTAATTCTGTGTAACTTAACATATTTTGCAAATCTGGGCTGTATCACTGGGAAGGACACTGCATACTGAACATATTCAGTACATTTGTGGTCATAGTGGCTTTTTGTTTTACCTGCCCTCACTATTTCAGAGGATGTCACACTCATTATGTGAGACCACTATATTGTTTGGCTACATAACATGCAAGGCAGTAAACTGACATTCAGTGAAAGAAGCGTTTTGCGGTTATTCAGGAGAGCCTGCTTTTACTGTGCTCAACCAGTCCTTGGCTGCTCTTATACTGTGCTCATCGTCCACTTTCCTGCCAGTTCTTTCTATACTCTAGCCCGTTTCTATGCCGATCTATTATTTGTCTTCTATATGTATTTGCTCACGCTCTTCATCCCAGCTCCGTTCCTGCCTTGTGCCCTGTGTCTTATCTTCCCAGCCGCTATCGCTCCTTCGGACCACGGACCTCCACTACTCCACATCACTCCACCACGCAGGTCGATGCACAGTCTCCCATTAACTGTTTCTCTGACTTTGTCCCCTCAGCAACCAACCACCACGACCAGTCCAGGAGTGAATCCTAGCATCCACAGCCCGGCCTCCTCCTTATCATCCCATCACTGACTGTATGTTTTCCAGAACTGCCGCTCGACACCCGGTTCTGCTCCATATTCCTTCACCTGGTTGTACACATGTTTATCGTCACTGTAAATAAATAGAGCACCTCTTGCACCAAAGTCAGCTACCTGGGTCCGTCATTTTTTTACTCGCTCACCTCCCTACCAGAGCGTACCTAACAATAATAACCAAACCCAAGCAACAAGGCGCCTGCCCCATAAGAGTGGTTTCTCCAAAGCACATTGAAGAAAGGGGAAATTTATGAAAAGGCCTTAAATTGGCAAACTCGTGCTAGGTTTGTTCAAAAGAAAAAGTCGCTTATCAACATTTAACTCACTTGTTTTCATTAGTGGAGTCATATCTGGGGAAGGGGTCCGGGTCATTGTCATTGAAATCATAGCTGGCTGCTGCATCCTTTAAAAACAACAGAGAGGGAAATGGTCAGATGTTTATTTTTCAAAATTTGGGTTTTGTCAGTGACGAAGGCTTGAAATGCAAATTTCTCAAGGTCAGTCTGCTGTCATGGATACGTATCACAAGAGGACAGAGCGATGAGGCCAAGGAGTGAAACATACATACTGACTTTGAGGATGAAGGAGTGCTTGTTTACAGCTCTCTGTTGGAAACACTCACATTGGTTAAAAATTCCGTTTTTGCCTGAGGATTGTGTTCCAGGCCAAAAAAATGCAGGAATACATGATACACTGTGACACTGTGCATGTTTTTTTTGTCTGTTCTGTCATTCCACTGCACTAGAAAACAGAATAAAATGCATAAATGATGTTTTCATTAAATAGGAAATTCAAATGATTAAAGCTTCCTCTCAACAACTATCCAGTTTAAACCAGATAGTTGTGCCTGTTATTTTAGAATCACTGCTATTAACTTATGAAAATGTACCTTGCACATATGCTTTGATTGATGAATGTCTCGAATGATCGAGTCACTTTTGTTAGTCAGCCTTAACCTAAATTGCATCAGGAGTTGTTTCCATAAACATCTTTTGTTTGCCTCCCTCCCTCAGTGCCTCCTTTTCTTTTTCACTCGGTGTAGTGGTGAATCAATGGTGGCTGTCTTCTGAAAGCAACAGCACTGCTGCTCTCCAAACCACAGATGGGGCTTTTAGAGTTCCTCTCTAAAGCAGAAAACTCATGCAGCTCCCATTCAGTCAGTTTTGCTTTCATTGGCTTGGTAATGATCCCCATCAACATGTAGACTGTCAAAACATTGCTGGAGGAATCAGTACATATTTAAAGTTTTGCATCTCTGACTGCAAGAAACATAGTTATTCCCATCAAAATCACTATTGCAGCAAACTGCCCATATTACAGTTAGAGATTAAAACAAAACACCTTGGAAGCAGGCTTTATCATTTAGAAGATTTTTTTACTGTCTTTATGAACTGCCTGGAAGGTGTCACCAGCACCGTTGCTATGGTAATGTCAGAGCCAGACGACGGAGGCTGTCTCCATGGAAACGGTGTCTTACGTAGTTGGAGTAGATGTCTGTGTGGTTCCACTCCAGCCCGTCATCCAGAACGGTGATGACCACTCCTTTCCCTGTGATGCCTTTCTGCCACACGGGGATCACGTGCAGGTCCAGCTTCGGCAGCGAGGAGGACGTCCGTGTGTCTTGCTGTGGAAGACGGGGACAGAATTACAAAACAACACATCTGCAAATTATGCAAAGTTTTGTGTGAATTATCACTGAGTACTTCATATAAATAGGCTTTTGAAGTATTATCTTATATGGTAAAAAGGTCAGGTCTTTGAGCTTACTGAGTCTGCCTGTTCTTCCACTGACCTTTACAGAAATTTATTACTGGATTGTTGGTTTTTTCTTTGTCTGGACTTGAGTCCGCTTCAACTGTATGGCCACTTGTAAGCAGATTGTTATCACAATGATACAGGCTCTTGTGTTATCGAACACAATAACTCTGCTAGTTACTTTAACCCACAAAATATCTTACAGTGCCTAGAGATGTGTTACGTTTCAACCCACTGTTCTTCTGGCTCGACTCAGTCAATCCCCCTGTCGAATGATTTAGAAACCCATTTCTGAGGCAATGTGGGAGGCATCAAGCTAGTTTTAAATGGAAAATCAGCAGGGAATAGGGGAAAGTGAGCAGGGCTGCTGCCTGCCTGCTTGGGGAAGAGTATGATTCAGAGCTGGAGACAGTTGAGACTAAAAAAAGGACTCACTTTCACTCTCTGCGCATTATGCACAGACACTGCAGAACACTAGCCCAAGATGTGACTCATCCCTGTGATGTATCGCCTTTTTTTCTTTAAATTCTTCTTGGCTCTGACTTTGAGTCCCCTTTTTCACCTCATCTCCTCAAAAGAATCTTGTACCTCTCTTCCTTATTGGACACTATGTATTGTATGCATTTTTGGCACAGTATGTATACACAGCACATGTCCTACTTTCACATGATGTGTTTCCAAAGCAATTAGCTTGAAAGGCTTTCACTCCCAACTAGCTACATTTCTAGTTTGCTGGTTTTGGTGTAACACTAAATAACTCGCATGTTGAGGAGCTGTCAGTGGCTTGACATTCATAGATTTTAAGGGTACACAGCAAACACACACACAGTAGATTATATCAGTCTCTTTGCACATCAAAGGATAAGTGGACATGCACACAACAGCGATGACACAGAGAGATGCCCAGTTAACACAGACTGACACTTGCAGAGCCTTGGATACACACACAGCCATGCAGGCAGGAGAAATCTCAAGCTATGAGCATGATTGAATTATCAGGCAGCCACCCACTCTTGACGGACAAAGACACTCATCCTGTTGTTGGGCCCAGCTCTCTCCCTCTAGATCGACCTCAGTCCCCGTCAAGCATCAGATCTGCCAGGCTCACTGTCTTTGAACCTCAACACTTTCCTCGCATATCTTCATTTGCAAATATTAGAAGTAAAGAGCGATCATAATGTAGTGGCTGATGCGAAAAGGTGACACCTGAGGTCTTTTTTCTTTCCACCGTTGTCACTGCCCCTGTTTAGCTCATGTGGAACTACACTAAGCAGCGCTTAAAGGCCAGTTCCATTAGTGTCATCATTTCTCAAAGGGAAAAATGATTCATCTCAATTTGTTTTCTTATCCCGGACAAGCGTGTGACTCATGTTCGGTTAGTGCAGGTGCAGGGAAATGGAGGCTAAGGTAACATAATATGAATGTCTCCTCTTCTCTCTCTCTCTCTGAAATACACACACACACACACAAACAGTGGCAACATGCAAACGCACACTATATACTTTCTCATTTTCTGATAAACCAGGGACAAACAAATGACACTGACCCAGGTAAAGATGAACCAGTGTCTTTGCTCCAATGAATACAGTCAGTTTAATAACCAGACAGGATGACTTGACTAATCCATTAATCACAGCGATGTGGAACAACATACGTATAAAGATCATGTTCCCTGCACAGTAACAGCTTGTGGTGAACGTGTTGTGATCGCGTCCTTAGACTTAAGGAAAAGCTTGATTTACAAATAAACTTAGATGAATTGTCACTGTAGCATGATGGTAGAAATATTGTCATATATTAAAATCATTTAGTAGTTTATTAGGTACAATTTAAGCTGGTGTAACAGAACCATCCTGTAAGAAATCCTCCATTCATCAGGATGATAATGTTCAGCTTTTGTTCAAACTGTTTCAAAGAGGTGTCCATTCAACTATTTTGGTAACAGATTAAACAAGTTATTTTAGGCAGAATGTTACATGTTTCTTCCATTTCCTTTCATCTTCTTATGTGAGTGGATGTGCTGCTTTGTTATGCTTAATACCCTGGAAATATCTTGGGATTTCAGACTGTTGGTCAGACAAAAACCTGAATTCGGAAGATGTCAGCTAGGACATTTGGAATTGCAGTGGTCTTTATTATACTGTTTTCTGATGTCTTACAGACAACATGATGATAGGAATAGAGAAAATAATCGGCAGAATTCATCATGAAGATAATTAGCTGGAGCCATGACTGAGTTCTGTGTCTTAATGTTTCTGGTAGTTTGGTCTGGTTTGATAATATACATGTGTCAAGGTCATTTTATGGTCAGGATACAGTGAATGTCAGTAATGGGTGTGGAAGAGGATGCACAGCTGTGGCAGTCTACTGTTCTGTGCTACTACTTGGCCTCAGTGGGCTAAAACATCCTATTCAGGGTACACTGGGACTTAATGTGCAGTATTCCACTCCGCTCCATCCTGCTGGATTATAATCCCTCTCATCTTCACATGGACTGTGTTACCAATTAAGCAAATGGCTCTTTTGGCTAGTACTGCTTAATAACAAGCTATTGTTTCATTGCTTTCACGTTTTTTTTTTTTGAGGATGGTTATGGGAAAACAGCAAGTGCTCATTGTTTGTGTGTTTTTCATTCCTACAAGTTACATTTAGTATATGGCAATGTGAACACATACAGTATGGCCTGCTGCTATAATCACAGCAGTGTAGAGATGTCCAGCACTTGCAGGGCTTCAGGATGTTTTAGATGAAAACAGACTAACTGCATGCAAACAAAAGGCTCAGTCATACACACAGTATGCAGCGTATGACCAGCAGGCTGGATATCAACCTAAATCTAGTGTTCAGATGTTTTCAGCACGAACTAGATGTATTGTTGAATTACATATTGATCTTCTCATACATTTTCTCCACCGCTGCTGTGGCAGACAAGTTTAATTCACTGCTATGTGTTGTGTATTTTGTGTGTAAGGTTTGAAGATTTTTGAGGACTCACCAGGTACCACTGCTGGTTCCACATGGGATCATCAAACAGCTTATCCACCGGGCAGTCCCTGCACTCTCTGAGGGAAGCCCTCTTGCTGCGACGTTTCTCATACTGCTGCTCTGCCCACAACACCTGCGCACCATACAAGTTATATGTTTGGGGGGTCAGGTTTTTAAAATGAAACAAGATGGTCTTGCATCGACTGAGGAGAGATGCCACTCACTCGATCGTCCTCCGACAGCTGCCTGGTGATGTGGTCGGCACCTCTTTTCATTCTGCCAGGATGATTGCGATGCTTGAACAAGAAGTGGTTTTCCAGGGCCCCAATCTGCAAAGTGGAAGACACAACATCAAACTAAATATTTTAAGAGAAATGACAGGATATGTGCTCACTGAAGCCTGTACTGTAGGCCTAGAAACATAATCCATCAGGAATTCAGTTGTAGGGGCTGCAGCAAAGAAAACAGTTTCCTCATTCAGACAACAGTGATTTAAAACATCACTCTGTTGTGTTGTACCTTATATGTTTATCTGTGTTAATGTATGTCTGTGGTAAAAACAGCATAGCTAGAAATATGATTGCTAGCAGCATTTACAGATGTTATTTACATTCATTCCAGCTGAAAATAAATAAATGTACAGATCCTGCATGTGTGTGTCCTTTAATACAGAAGCAACATGTGCATGTCAAGTGCCGCCAAAGCATGCATTATCCACAATAATGACATTCACTGCAGTTTTAACAGTACAATGCCTTGAGTAAAACTAAATATGACTGTCCATTTCACTAATGAACCATGCAAATGTAACCCATTCAAAATATAACAACAAGTGAGGTAGGCCGGGTTACACAAATATAACATTTAGCTCGTATTCCTATCGCAGCTCATTGCAGTGTATTTTAAACTTCTTTGGGCAAACATATCATTTAAATGAATGCGATGTAATATAAAAACTAAATCTGAGGGATATTGGTTCTGACACAGTGGCTGCAGTCTGCATATAGTCCCTTGGTGTCCATGACCCCTGAGAGACCAGTTAATCACTGGCCAGAGCCACAGGTTTGGTATAGGTGATGTTAACATATACAATACTAGAAAGACAGGGATGTACTAAACAGGGAAAAGAAAGGCTGAAACCCCAGTTATGGGTCATCAGAAGTGTGTAAACAGTGTCACGGATTGATTAAATCCTCCTCCTTTAATTGAAAATGCAATGTGAGCTCTTGGTCTGTCATAAAAAGCAATGAGTTTCCAGCCCAGTAATGGCCTTATCAAACAATGCAGAATAACCGACACAGCTGGTGCCTCCTCTGCCCAAACAACAAAGCACACATACTATAGACTGCAGGCTTAATTAAAACCTCTTGCTAATTTTCCTTTTCTGTGTGGTGACTTGTAATTCACATGCTTGATGTTAAGATTAGTCTGTATTGGAGGGCTTTGTACGATTAGTGTTAAAGTCTAAACCGGTGTTTTGCTCCAGGGCGTTGGTGCCTACCTGTCGGACCAGTTCGTAGTCCAGTTCTTTGGCAATAGCCTCCGCAGCCGTCAGCCCGCCTGGGATCTCCACTGCCCACTCGTTCAGGTACTGCCTGTCCGTGTACGAAGACTCCAGCGACCGGGGAACCATCGCACAGAGGATGGCAAACAAGCAACACATCACCGCTGGACGACATCTCACTTCCATCTCAGGAAATTCAACCAGATGAGAAAAATATATATATATGTACAAACAGCTTAGATGCTTCCAAGAAAAGCATCCACAACTCCAAGATCTAAATGATAAGTGATAATAAAGAGATGTGCTACTTTATTCCTTCAGAAACAGCTGGCTGAGATGGAGGGAACGTGAAACGGCGTTATTGGTCCGCCAGAGAGAGGAAATACTGGTGATGGAGTGGGCTGGTTTGTGCGCTGTGAACCCGTGTGTGTGTGTGTGTCTGTGTGTGAGAGATCACGATGCGGAGAAGGGAGGGCGTGTGTGTTTTACGTGAAATTTCGGGTGCTCTGACGTCATTTGCCGCCTACCTTCGGTAAGATGTGAGTTCAAGTCCCTGAGAGAGAAAGGGTAAATGGGAGGGGGTAATCGGAATAAAAATGTCCAACTATATGCCCCTGGAGGAGGTGGAGGACACAGAGGGAAGAAATAAAGCAGTAAAATAAATTTTGCATTATGTTATTATATGTTATAACCAGAGGACCAGAGGAGCTTTCTCCTTCATTCTCCATTCACTGAATTCCGTGGAACATTATCATGTATCACCGAAACGTGATTGTACTGACTCAATCAATAATGCATCGGTCTCTGTCTCGGTCCTCAGCTTGTGGTCACATCAGCAGCAGAGAGACAAGGAGACAGGGAGCCAGAGAGACAAGGAGACAGGGAGACAGAGAGACAGGTCTCAGCACCGCGGACAGCTCCTTGTCCTCGCTGCGGATTCAAACCAGGAAATGAGATGGAACTGAATCCAAACTCCGGGGTTTGAGGGGAAACGGGCCACTCCAGCAGCCGAGGAGACCAGTATAACGTTGTATTTAAGATAAAACAGCAGATACACATTAGCTGTTAAATGCATCTAATATTTCAGCTGTTTAAATCTGTGGCTGAAGTACCAATACAGGTGCAACAAATTCAAACTGTCTTTATAATGTCGGCCTACTTAAGTAAAAACGCAGAAGCATTACCATTTAAATGTACTTGGCATCATATAAAATAGCTCTGTATGTAGTAGAATGGTACCCAGTAATGTTACTTTATTAATGTCACTAACATGTTTCCTACTACAGCAAGTCACAACCTCCAATGTGACAAATTAATAAAGGCCTGAAGTTGTTTGGTTACCAGTTACAGTATTTCAATTTGGCGTGACTTGAGACTGATTTATATACTTTTCATAAAATGGCATTTTAGCTTTTCACATGGTCAGAGCTATTAGCACATGTACACAAAATATAAAGATGGCAGCATGCAGATAAAACATATACCCCTCACACACTTTCTCTTTATAATGGAATGGTGGAACACATTGTAACGATTGTAGAATCCTAAGCTTTGGAGGTATTGCTTTCATTTAGCAAACCTGCTTTAATGTAAAATGTTCTTGTTTTTCACTTTGAAATATGAAGATTAATGTGCTCTTAAATTTTCATGCTGTGTAAGACTCTGTTTGCAGGGAGTTATTCATGACCGTGATGTTGTCTACCTCGGATTCTGTTCACGTTGTTTACTGATGGAAACAGTGCGTCAGCCTGCTCTGACCTCAGGTGTGTACAGTGATTCAAAGATAAAGGTGTTGTAAGATGTTATTGTTTCCTCTTGGGTACAATGGAGGTTGTGCTGGTGCACTTCATAGAACAAACTGTATAAATCACTAGCAGACAAATACAGTAAGAGTACTACTATACAACAGCACTTGAGTTTAATTCAGATGTACACTGTCCAAAATAGAGTGAGCTTTCTAGTTGTTGTGAGTTAAACATGTCAGAACTGATAATGACTAATACAACTGGTCATCTGGCCATGTGCAAACAGCTCTGTGTCCGATCTGCTGTGTAATCCACTCTTACCTAGCAACAGCTGTTTGCGTTGACTGACGCACTCACTCAAGCACAGAAACAAAAGCTGAAGAGCCACAGAAATATTAACATGATGAGCAGTGAGTTTCACTACAGAGCACTGAATCTTTGACTTTGTGTTCACTGATTCTTCACATCCTCTGCCCGTATCTGTGAGCTGTGTTTATTTCATTACAGTGGCCTGAGATCACTCATCTGGCTTTCCTTATAAAACCAGTACACACCAGTCACATCATCACTTTCATCAGATGAGGTCAGTGGTTGCATTTCTGCAACTAATCCTTTTTCCAGAGGTAGACAGTGAAGGAAAGCTCCTGCTTTTAGCCAGGGTTGACGTCACAGTGACAGGAGACTCACCTCAGCAGACGGTAATTCAACCAAAATCAATTAGCTGTGGCAAATTGATGCAAAGTCTTCAACCACACTTCCTACTGATCTCAGAGTACATTTATAGTTCAGTGGCACTTTACAGTATTATGCAACTTTCACAGTAATGGAAAGCTATTTTTTGGTTTTGTACAAAAATACATTCAAAGTGATGAAAAACTTTATTTAAATTGCTTGATAGTAAAATTATATTTCAAGTACATTAAATTGAAACATTAAGGTTTAATATGACCATGAAACATCATTGTGGAGGTAAAGAGACGCTATACCAGTGAAAGGGATCAGTCTACTCCCTCGTCACTCCCCCGTCACTCACCTGCCACATGAATTGTGAGAGCACACATGGTTTCCATAGCGACCCCCTTCTTTTGTCCTCTTCATTGTCTCTATGACCATTAGAGAGCGTGAGCATGGAAAACCTTCGCTCGCAAGTCACAGCTGTAAAGATTTGTAATGAAAATAAAATCTGTGGAAGAGTGATGTTGAACTGCGTCAGATGTGTTCATGACTTTGTTTGATAAGGTGGAATCAAATTTAAATGTTTTATAAAAGCATACTGTGTAGAGCATCTCTGAGTTGAAGTTTAAAATCTATTCAATGTCCAAAAGTCTCTAACATGAAACATGGTGGACTGAAGTTCTCAGAAACAGATATAAGATCATTTTCAAATTACTATATGTGACTTTAATTTGGCTGTATTCTAACAATCACTAAAAGGTGCAACTGCGTGCTGTACTGTAGACACTATTTAGTTTTAGGAAGCCTGTGGATCATATATATCTGACATTCTCAATAAAAGTGGGAATGTTTCTCTCAGTTTAAATGTATTTAAGAAACTTTGAGAATAAAAGAGGATTAAAAATCAGTGTATGCAAATAACAAACATGTTTAAATTAAAATGACTTTCTTTGAGCTTCAGGTGTGTAAATACAGTAGTTGTGGATAAGTTATTTGTGTATTTGTGTATATCAATAAGGTCATATATATTGTATATGTGTAAAAGAAACATGGAGAGGTGCAGGATGAAAATGGAGACAGAAACTGAGGGGGAGATAGTGGAAAATAACTAAACTAAACATAATTAGAATAATTATCATTATTAATATGAAAAGTGAAAGATGTAAGGGAGACCTCTAATGCTACACTGCATGACTGGCAGGCAGGTGGATTCATTGTCAGAGCTCTTTGCCCCACCCTCAGCAGCAAGGCTGAGGCAAGCAAGAGCAGCCAGATCAGAGTGGATGGAGACTGGATGGGGAGGACCAGGACAAAAGAAAAGTTAGTTTACCCCTGTCCTAACCATCCTCATCTCCACAAAACAGGTTGCTCAAGAAAGATAATAATTGCAAATTAGCATAAAACAAACGCACACGTGGTATCATACCACAGTCAGTGATGACATCATACCTGTCTGGTGTCAAAGGAGGTGAGACATGCAGAAGGAAGGTAAGCAAAAGTGTGGTCGTGCTGCACGGCTGAGCAGATGTCAGCACTGGCAGCCCACAGTTTATACCCAGTGCACACACAGGGGTTTGCATAAAGTTGTGGCTGTGGAACCCTGAGATGAATTGGATGAAAAAAAAATTTAATAAATGACTTAATTAAAAACACCAAAAACATTATTTTCCAAAATATAAGGAGGTTCTGTAGGTACTTTACATGCCACTAAAAACATTTGATGAGAAAATAACTAAATCAGTGAAATAAGAAAATAAAAAATGTGTATACACCTGCATTTATACACAGTGTTTAGTACCCATATGTATATTGTATATATAGTAAACACATTCACATACTGTACATACTTTGTTGTTCATGCATAATGAAAAATGGATCTTAAATGCCAAAAAGGCTTCAGATGTTAAACATAGATTTAACACAGAAGAAGAAAACAGCAAAGGTGAAGAATCAGTTTGGTTCTGTCATGTCACCAAAGCTCAGCCAGCATCATACAAATGTCACCTGTTATCACAAGCCTTGGTAGAAATGTTGCTCTGGTGTCAGACACTGTGGTTTGCGGGTGATGGACTGAGAAAACAGTTAAGTGATGTAAAGATGTGACAGGGTTCACACTGTTATCAGGTCGTGTGAAAGTTGCATGACCTTTGTTGCTGAAAGGCACCAGAGTGATGGACACTGTCGATACTCTGACATGTGACTCGTCACTTCTTCTGCCCCGTATCACTAACATCATGGTCGTCAGCACCGAAGACTAAGTAAACCTCAGTGGTGGGTTTATTTTGCTGTTGTTTTGATGCCTTCTTCTGAATCCCTACTTTTTCTCTTCAGTTTATTCAGTTTAGTTTTGTTGATCTGACAGTTTGCTTTTTGTTTTAGTTTATTATTAGTTTTTATCTAAAATTAATTAATCTTTACACAAAACCATAGAAATGTACCTGTTATGTTTATGGTGTGAAAATTATTCTTGCATTAGCAACAGCAGCAGAAGAAAATGATCACATGACTGAACCAAAATAAAACAGAAATACAGAGTCAAGACCCGCATTTCCTAAAACACAGATGATCTATTTTTAAACATTTCTAATCATTTGTGAAGAAATGCTGGTGCCAATGTACAGGGCAAAATGAAAGCAGTAATAGCAATGACTTGTAAAATGTAGCATCTCAGTTGTGCAGCTACATGACTCCAAGAAACTATGGGGCCATATTAGGCCAATGTAGAATGAACTTACTATGGAATCAATGCTTGTTTAGGCTTAGGCTTCAGCAGAAGTGTGTAGGCAGGTTATTTTGTATTTAAGAGGATCTGTTTGCAGTCTTTATAAACGATTTCACTGAACACGTGACCAGCTTTTGGAGCCTAGCTGCAGCTTACAGTTCCTTCATTATTAGATTAATTAATATTGATGAACGAGTTGATCCATAAAATGTCAGAAATGTGTGCAAATGCAGTTTGCAAGGTGACTGCTTCATATTGCTTCTATTGTCCAAGCAACAGTCCAAAACATAAAGATATTTAATTTAAAAAGAAGAACTTTTAGAATATTCAACATGTTTCATTGATAGTAATTGATTAAAATAATTGATAAACAGATGATGAATGATTTCCCCCAATTATTTTAGCTTTTTACTTCACATAAAATCCTACATGGTCTGTCAGCAACTAGCCTATGTCTTTCCTAAAATTCAGGCCCGGACTCAGGCTCATCTAATGTTTCAGTGCTGGATATGGTACCTCACTAAATCAAGGACTTCAGTGAGTCTCCGAAGCTGAGTCCTTGGTTTAAGGCCATTTGAGCTGCTCCTTCAGGCAAGCAGTAAACATGCTTTACATTTTGCTGCTAATAAAAATGTATGGAAATAGATTAACAAGCGGTGTTATCTCGGAGTAAAGTTATTTGAACACTGGGTCTCCTTAAGGCTGAAAATATTTATCAAAAACACACAGTAATGTGCTCTGAATTTTACTAGATGATGTTTCGCATTAGTCAAAATGATTGTCTTCTCCAACAGACGTGTGTAGACCCCTTCTTGTCCACCAGAGGGCGGCATTGTGCTTCATACAGCAAAGGCTCCAGCTCACCGAGAGGAGATGTATCTCTGCGTCAGTTCCCCCCCCCATTTCCCCGTTGGGGTGTGTCCCGTTATGCCAACGATGTCAGCTTTTCCCCTCAGAAATAGTGAGCTACATGTCTGTTTCAGGCACAAGAATACACTATTATCTCTAAATCCCTACTGAATCAGGAGTTTAATGTGGGCTGGTTTATGTGGACCTATCTCGTACACACATGCATTCTGCATTTCAGAGACGCAGTGTGCAGACTAGTGTGCTCACTGATATGAACATCATACAGATCGGACCGACCTGTCTGATAAGGTACAGCACCACTCTTTCAGCAACTCGAGCTTAGATACACACACGCACATTACTTCACCACTTTGCTTATACCAGTCAACCAATCATTCATCAAACTCCAAAGTTTTCTCAGCGGGAGGAGGGACCTAATTTTCGCCAAGGGGCTGTTCGGTCTGTGTTTGAGTCTGAGTTCCACCAGAGAACCGAGGGCGCACAGGGAACTTATAAAATTCCTCCATTTCTGTTTTAAAGATGCCTCATACACACAAGAAGAGACGAAAGGAGGTAAGCTTTCTCTTTTGCACTGAAGGAGAAATGGATCGTCCAACTTCAGCATGGCTTCTGGTGACGTTCCTGTGCTCTCACTTGGAAGCTCTTGAGAAAATATGACTGCATAGATAAAACGGGATTCACGGTGGTTTAGAACGAAACATCAGTGCACGCTGGGGTGGGTGTGCCAGAGCATGTTATTACAGGATGGCTGCACACTAGATATGCCACCAGTACGCCCCAGTCTGCATCACAGTGGTACATCAGCACCATCAGGCTGCCGTTAGATAGGGCCGAGCAGTTCGTGGCCGTTTCCGGAGGATTTCGTGTCCACCGCTGCATCCAGCATCCAACCAATCTTGGCCAACCTGAGGATTTCGTGTCCACCGCTGCATCCAACCAATCTTGGCCAACCCCCCCAGCACCGACGCACTGGGGGCCAGTTTATCAAATATCCTCTCTGGAAATATGTGCGTGTTGTAATGGGGGGAGGTGGTAGCCTACATGTACGGATAAGTGCATGATCGCTCCGTGGCAATGCGGAAGAGATCCCGCTGGCGAAGCGCAACTTTTCTGTAACATCACTGAGTCAAAACAAGGCCAACGCACAGACAGCGTTTAGTGTTAATTGTCCGAAGTGTGCGGGGAGTGGCACGTATTTTTTGTAAAGACCTAGCGGTGAGGGCAGGAGAGAGTGCGCGGGTGAACCTCCATTTCAGGGTGCGCGTTTCCCTCTTATGATCCTCCATGGCTTATGCAGCATACTGGATGAGTCTTGTGAGTACATCTGCTTTCTTCACCCTACTTTTCCTTCTGTTTCACCCTCGTCTGTCAAGCTTGGCAATCGCAGCCTGCGAGTTGTTACCGCACAGAACAGGCGCAACTTGTCAGGAAGTAAATGCGCTGAGTTGAAGGCTTGTCAATCTGCCAGTACTGAGCAGTGGCTTATAAAAATGTATCTGTCACTGTGATGGCATGCAGCTGTTATTACTTAAACTGATAAGATGCTGTTGGTCAGAAAATGTTTGCTTTTTATTGCTTTAATTCGGCCGCATTAGGTTTTGACGCAAACGTTAAAAAGCAACGAAAGCAACTTGTACGTGGAACAGTTTCTGTCTGGTGTTAAATCTATAAACCACCAACACAATAGGTGGACGTCAGTGCATCCTGTGTAGAGGTTCCACTGAATGGTGCCAAAAACCAAGTCAGCCCTCAAAGACTTTGCACTTAACAGTAATAAGTTGGTGTGTGTCCACCCAGAAGTTTTGTGGGGACCAAACATGTTCACACACTCCCAACCATGTAAGTCAGTGAATTGTAGAGTTGGTTTAGGGTCAGGGTCAGGAAATGAATGGAAGGAAGAGGAGCAGCTGCCTCCCCACTTGATGTCCAGGCCTTCAGCCTGTTCTCCTACTATGGTAAGGTGCTGTCTACTAGATGCAATCTGAGAAGAAAACTCTTGATTATTTTTTTCCACATAGGAGAAATATTTAAAGGAGTGACTAGGAAAAGATTTATGCCCCGTAAGCTGCCATAGTAATGTCCTGTACTTAGGATCACTTTGAACAGATGAAAGTAAAAGTACAGGAGTGCCAAAGTAATGACAACATGCCTGTTTTTCAACTGATGCTTAAGTTTCTCAACCTCAGAGTCTCTTGATCAACAGACAGGGTTGCGGTTTTACGCTGCCAAACATTTGGCCACACTTTCCCGTTCAGCTGAATGGGGAGGTGTGTCTGAACCTTTGACTGGTAATGCATAAATGAGAGACTAATTTATTGGTTGATGTAGTTTTCATTGAGACTCTGCTGTGTGCTCACACATTAACTCGTTTCTCAGGCGAGAGCTGCTCATCTGTCGACCAGTTGCCTCAGAATATGTGTTCGCTATTCTGATGAGGAGTTGCAGCAGACCCACACTGACACCCGTGTGTTTCTTTTTTTTCCTGGTCACCAGATATCAGAATGCCTGTCGTCTTGTTAATCTGAGTTACTGATGACCTCATGCAAGCTTTTCTTTATCAGCTCTCACTGAGCACTTAGGAAACATTTCAGAAATTCCTGAGCTGCTTATATCTTTACCAAGGACTTTCATACTCAGTGGGAGGTTCAGGTATAAAACGTCTTGTTGTTTCCCAAGATGCATTAGTTCTACAGGCTGCGCCCATGGTGGACACACAACTGTCAGTGAGTTACTAACTTCCTGGGTGATTTTGGAACAACGTGCACCTCTCCTTTTCACCTGATGTGGTATCTTTGCCTCATCTCTCAAGACATTTTAGCTTCAGTGACTGTTCAGCCCGTGCGCCTCACAAACAGGACTTTCATGTCAGGCTGGTTTGAACTCACCAGCAGTGAGGTGCATTATTTTCATATTTTGTTGAGGTGGGCTGCTAAATCAACTGTAAGTGAAAGGCTTGGGTGTCAAACTGATTCATCCCAGTGACTCACTCAAAGGCCTTATTATCTACGCACTCCACCCAAGAACCTCTCAAAGGGTCACACACTACACCCAAGACGGGAATTGGACTTTGCACTCACATTGCCTTTAAATGACCTGAAAACAGTGGCAGATGTATAATGGCTTCAGATATACCTGACTCCATTTGTCACGCTGTTGACAGTGTGTGTGCTTTTTCATATCAGAAGAAGATATAGAATTTGTTGCTGCCTTTCTACTGTTCACACAGTCATGGCCAAAGATACTGGCACCCTGATAACGCACCACTTCTCCCAGAAAATTGTTGCAGTCACAAATTCTTTGGTATCTTCATGTTTATTTATTTTTTTTGTTTGCACTGGAACAAATCTGATACAAAATTGACTGGACAGAATTATGGAAAAACAGTCTCGAGGCTCCAAGTCCATCTCCAGAGATCTGGCTGTTCCTGTGTCCACTGTGCGCAACATTGTCAAGATGTTTACAGCCCATGGACCTGTAGCTAATCTCCCTGGATGCAGATGAAGGAGAAGAACAAACTAATTCAATCTGACCTGCAGGCACAGGGTGCAGCAGTGTCAGCTCACACTATCTGAATGACAAGGGACGCCATGGTAGGAGACCCAGGGGACCCACTACTGACACAGAGACATAAAAAAGCCAGATTGGAGTTTGCCAAAACGTATCTGAGGAAGCCGCAGTCGTCCTGGGAGAATGTCCTGTGGACAGATGAGACTAAAATAGAGCTTTTTGGTTGAGCACATCATTCTACTGTTTTCAGAAAATGAAATGAGGCCTTCAAAGAAAAGATCATGGTCCCTACCATCAAACATGGTGGAGGTTCACTGATGTGTTGGGGTTGCTTTGCTGCTTCAGGCTCTGGATGTCTTGACTGTGTGTGTGGCTTTATGAAATCTGAAGAGTACCAATGAATTCTGGGACACAATGTAGGTTGTTAGAAAGTTGGGTCTCTGTCAGAGGTCATGGGTCTTCCAGCAGGACAATGACCCAAAGCAGACTTCAAAAAGCACCAGAAATGCTTTCAGACAATGTGCCAGAGAGTTCTGAAGTGGTCAGTAATGAGTCCAGGTCTCAATCCCATAGAGCAGCTGTGGAGAGATCTCAGAACAACAGCTGGGAGAAGGATCCCTTCAAATCTGAGACCTGGAGCAGCTGGCAGAAGAAGACTTGGTCCAAAACTCCAATAGTGGTGGAAGCAGCTCACTGATGGTTACAGGAGGTGATTGATTTCAGTTATTTTGTCCAAAGGGTGTGCTACCAAACATTAAACTGAGGGTATCAGTAATTCTGTCCGGTTGTTGTGTCGTTCTAATGCAAACACAAGAAATAAACACGAGGATACCAAAGAATTTGTGATTGCAAAAATTCTCTGGAAGAATTAAATGGACTGTATTTTATATAGCGCTTTCTCGCACTGGCCAAAGCGCTTTACAGAAGATCATACACCATTAGTGTGTTATCTGACAGAAATGCAGGGTTTGCTAATATTTTTTGGCCATGACTGTAGTTGGAATAAAGAAAAACATCTGTCTACAACAGCTTCTGGTGAAGCTTCACAAAGTCTGAAGCTTTAACACATCTATTATTCATGTCCCTGGTTTCCTGC